CAGAGGGGAGGACTAAGGGGCTCAGCCCCCCCTCCCCCAAAAGCATCTGAGTCCTCCTATGACAAATCTTAAATTAAATTTGGTAATAGGTATTTTTTTTCTTTAGCATGTTTTACACCAAAGTAAAGTACAATTTCCATCAAGCCTTTCTGTTCAAGAATTTTTTTGAGGCTTGTTGACATTAATAGTTATATTTATAATTTAAAAAAAAACATAAAGACGGTATACCAGTAGGACTTACCTCCCAGGTGTTTGTGAATGTCTGACAAGAGTGCGAAAGAGTATAAGTTGAAGTGTGAGAGAGAGTGTATGAACGTAGCGTACTTTGGGTCTAGTGTGAGGTTATTTCACATCATCTCGCTGTCGACGGCGACCGCAATCGGTGTTGAGATTGATGAAGATTTCAGTGCAGGCCAATCGCAAACCAGCCATCTCCTTCGTGGAAAATCAATGCACTATGCACCACGAAGGTCCTTGACAAGTATAAATCGTCTGATATCTCATGTCTGGTACAAAATAAAACTACAATAAAATTAGAGGAATAACCTTTATATTCATTTCTTTCATAGTTTCACTCTTAACTATGTGCTTAAAGGCTAAGTCACACCGCGTGGGCGGTGTTGTCAATCCCTCAACTTTGAACAAACACAAGTATTGTGAAAAACAACATTGTCACGTCAAAAACTACATGGCAGTTTCTTAATATTAATATTCTTATGTATTGCGAGGACACTGTATGTTACAATCATTATCAAAACATTTCAAGTAAGTCAATGAAATGTTTATTTGTTAATATCAGGGATCCAACGTTAACTATATTTAGAACCGCTTAAATTTTCAACACAAACTTATCAAAGGTGTTCAGTACTTGGGGCATAAGCATCCAATTTGATTTGTCCAACGAAAAATATTAAAATAATCGAAAATAATATTGGAAATCTGGTACCACCACTTAAGACAACATCTAAAAGAATTTCATATCACATTTTTTCCCCTTTTTCCTGGACTGATGAATTATTCAGTTAATTTTATTTACTCGTTTTAAATATACGTATTACAACAAAACATTAGTCAGGGTGATTTTTTAAAAATAAATAATTATAACTTGCCAAGAAGGTGTTAGAGGAGTCTATATTGTAAATAGACTTTTACATGTCCGAATTAGATGGTGCAGCAATTCCAATGACTAGCTTGAAAAAGACTTGCCGAAACTCAAGGATATTAGTCTAAAGTCTATCGAGCCTATTTTACTAACAACTGTCTGTAAAGTCGTTTAAAAACACTGGGCTCCTAATATTAACAATGATAGCTGCCAAAACATATTATAAACTGATCATAAACAATAACATCACATCACTCGATTATTAGATCAAAAATACATATTTTAAACGGGCACATGACTTAATGAACATGAAGGTGACATAACGTTTCAATAACTCGTTTTAAACAAGATCTATTACGCATTGTATTTACAAAAGCTACTTTCAATATGTTCGCAATATGAACAACAAACATTACTCTCAACTTTGGATAACTTCGGTATATTCTCCAATAACTGTGTGTTAATGGTTCACTATAAACTTGTACTCGAGAACATTATCAAACACCAAAGTGTTATACTCATAACTGTATTATGTAGAATTTGACAAATATCTTTATTATTCAAAACTTCAACATCGTTTAAAAACTTACCACATAATAATATCATCTAAGACCCTTTGAATCCTTTTGATCACTATAAAGAGGTATTTTTGATACACAATTTGTGTTAGAAGCCTTCCAAGAGATTTTTTTAATGAATATAATAAGTACCGTCTCGCCATATAACCTTACTATGTATTGGGAGACTATGGTGTACTACAAAAAATATTTCTCGATAACTTGTACTATTTACAAAACTTGCATAATCTGATTTTTTACAAAAACATTGGTAACTAAATATTTTCAAGCAATAACATAAATAATATAATATATTGTGATGATTACTCGTTCTAAAGTAAAATTTAACGTATTTCAGAACCGATAGTACTTCATGTATAACTGCAAGTAATATTCTTCCTCTGTTAGATAGAATCAAAATTATAAACGCTATATTAGTTTATATCCAACCAAGCTTGGTGACGATCATCTTAATAAAAATCTAAATAATTATGATAAAAATAAATCGAAAACTTTAACTAACAGTAACTGTATAAAATGATTCAACACAAGATAGTTATTAATCTGCCGAATAATAATAATTAAAGCAAATTTCAAGCAAACGACAAAGAAAAACTCATATACTTTTTTAAAACACCATTAATAAACTTACAACTATAACTAGTTACGTTTTCGTACACAAAATATGTCATTTTATTCTTATATCTTAATATCTTATCTACAAATTCACCGAAAATAATAATGTTTCATTGGGAAATGTTGACGATAGCCGACGTCGAGCGCGCACGCACCACTCACACACGTTTTGTTAGCACATCACAGATCATCTAGAGATTAGCGAAATTGCATCATCACGACATACGGGACCATATGACCCTGGTGACTTTATTTTATCGAACTACCGGGATTTCTGTCGCTGTAGGCATTATGTACATAAAAGTAACTCTGATATGTAAATCTCCTTTGTTGTAAGTAGACTTCTGTATAATACAATAAAAAATGAATTAAAATTTAATATTTAACGTCAAAAAGCCAAAACTAAATAATAATTTAACAGTGTGCATGACAGTAATTGCTACAGATCAAAGAAGGCACAAGAAAGCTACAAAAAATAAAGATGATTTCTGATATATTAAAAAACAAATATTGCAACACATAAACTTGTATTTTTTTTTACATTTTCTTTTAATTTTGGATGAAGTGGAGTTAAACGAATTATTCAAACGGTAAAATAGTCATCAATACATTTAAAATTGTGTTTTTATTTCGATTGGTCCACAAACAACAAAGACATTGCCTCCCTGCATTTGAAGTCCGTTAAAGAACTGCCACATAATGTATATAGTCATGCTATAGGCGCGCGAAGTATATGTAACAAGAATGCCTGGCTCAGAAACCATGTCATGATCACAATGAAACTAAATAACATCACAATTTAATATTTTTAGGTGTTAAAAGTTTATTCAACTGTTATGTTTCAGTTTTTGTTTCTTAGTTCCAGCAAGCTTGGAGTTTATTTCTTACCACCAATCAAGCTTCTCACATTAGGCGCCTTTTTCTGGATAAAAAGTTTGTTTGACTTGTGACGTTATTTGAGCGGAGGTGAAATATATTTATACACATGATAGATGCAATTCCACTAAAGAGGCACATCACACTAACAAAATTACAGCCTTACCACACCGCGCAACTCACTTTTTTACTAAACAAACATTACAATAATCATAAATTACAATAATAACTACCTTACGTAAACGCGACAGTTTAGCTTACTCGATAACGAAAGCTAACTCCTATTTGGCTTCTTTCAAGTTGAACCATAATTATGTCTTGTTTCATATTACCTACGTTTAATAAAATGCCTTAATTTGGTACCGCTGTTGCTAACATTCACAAATAGGTAGGAATTCGACATACTCGTAGTTACGTCGATATTCATCGTCAAACCGAAGTATGACGTTCGTTTATATTTGTTTTCTTTTTATATAAATACTAATATCTTACATTATTACCTTTATTCATTTAGGATTTGTGAAAAATATTTTACTGAGATCCGTTTATTGTTTCTTTAGTTTGTTTCAACTCAATACTATAGATATCTATTAGAATAACTTATTTTACAGAAACTACTTATGTTAGTATAAATAAGACCAAGACATAAATTATAAGTTCACCTTTTTTAATTCGCGAACGATTCACTCTCCACACTATGTGCATAAATTTGTTCAGTAATTTCAACCATAAATTATACCATAAAAAGAAATTGTCGGAAGACAAAAAAATTTGGAAGACAGTCGGCCGAATGCGTAATTTTGACAATAAAATCACAATAAAATAATAACTACATAAATGCTACTTCATATGGCATGTGCTAACACTCAATAAGAAGCTTGTCACACTACACTATAAGTCAGTCAAATCAATTGAGTTGTAATTGGAAAACTACTCGTAAAATGTCCAGGTTATCGTAGAAATTCCATTGCAACTCATAAGTTTAATACTTTTTGTCTAGTGTAAAATAAGTTTGCCCATTGTCACGTAAAGTACATACTGAAGCTTTTACAGGCTACTTTATAAAAATTAAAGGTAAATATTAGGGTAAATCTTATTTTAATTTTGCATTAGTTCAATTGGACTTGATTTAATTCCTAGTATGTCACAACCTTTACATTTTTAGTGTAAATAAGTTACTCCTGCTTATAATTATAATAGCAGAATAGAATTAAGGAAAAAATGATTAGATATTTACTTATGACTAATAGACGCTCAAAAATTTATTGCTAGCTCATGAATTTATTATATGAATAATTAACAACCTGACCCAACTTAGGCAGGCAATTTGTTTTTACATTTTAACTTTTAACAATCTTCTTCAGAATCAATCAATGCCGATCATGATAACAAAACCTGCATCTGTATCATGAAATATATAAAAAGACCAATACTTTGCAATTTTAATTAATTCCTCAGATTATAACGGCATTATAATCTCGAATTCATAAGGACATAACTATTCAAATGTCTTACACTATATTCTATTTGACTATTACTGTTAAACATATTATTTTTATAATGATGATAAATTAGAGTCTACCTCATTAAACAAAGTAAGGTCAGAACAAGTCGCCTCTCATTTTACACTAGACACAAACTTCACTAAACCATTTCACAAATATAATCCGTTCCGGGTAGCGTGACAGTGTATACACATAAATTCACGAACAAATCACAATCGCTTAACGTAGTCTTTTATCCGCGACATGTAATGCCGTCCATGCACTTAGCACTAGTGTGGGTGCGTCGGTGTTCGCTCGAAGGCCTCAAAAGAAGCCGATCAACTCCTACTCGATTGTGCTCCGCGGACCGTCGATCGGCATCGTGTGGAGCACCTCGTCTAGGAGCTGCAGTGCCCTGGTACACAAATATAATAAATTAATATGTGATAAAAGCTGGATAAAAATTCCAGGTGGAAAAGAGAGTTTTAGTCCTACCTGGACCCTTCAGAAACTGATTGGGCTCGAGGGATTCGTCGGGTACCGATAAGGTAAGTAGAATGAATGTGAGATCGTTTATTCAATTCGCATTATCATCGCTCTCACAGTTCTATGCAATTTGTTTTTCTTATATTTAAAAAAAAACAGCCGAAAATTGTTGTTGTAATGGTCATTGACTTTCAATTATTTGTTTAAAGGAATTTGTTTAAAAAAAAATCCGGACAAATTTTGTACTATATAACTTCCTTCAAGTAAATTAAGTTCTTACAACACCAATACCAAGTCTTCTATACCACTATAATTTTTTCTTTAAATTTCTTCTCTTTAAAATAATCGGTATAAAATCTTCCTGTTTGTTTTTTTCCAAAGAATACCTGACTTGAAATAAATAAAATATATTTTTTAAATACTTATACATGGATATTACCTGTGGAGGTGCACCTCGACCCAGCAGGGCGTCTCCTTGATGGAGGTGCGCGGGTAGTCGGGCCCCCAGCCCTTGACGAAGGACAGGCGCACGATGCACAGGCGCCGCAGGTCGTCCACGCCTATCCCGGCCGCTGCTGACAAACCTGACGAATGAAGAATCGCGATCATCACTACTACGTGTTTACATCACATTTGCCTCGGCGTTACGAACCCGAAGACAGCGTGACAACGTGACACGCACATACTCCTGTTAATATCGTCTTCATTTTAGATAAGAAAAACTCGTTTTAAGGTGTGATATCGCTTACAATTTGAAAAGTACATTTTAATGTAACTTTTTAAGCATTTAGGTATTTTTTTTAATTTAGATATTAATTGCAGACAGAATTTAATGTGTTCAGTAGTAAGTAATCTATATACCTGGGTAGCTATGGTGTTAATATATTTTAAACCGGGTTTTGCCCGCGGCTCCACGCGCGTGTATGTCGGTTATCGCGATAAACTTTAGCCTATGTCTTTCCTCAAGAATTAAACTATCTCCATGCCAAATTTCATCTAAATCGGTCTGGCAGTTATTAATTCCCCATACAAACTTCCGGCCCCCTTTTCACCCCCTTAAAGTATGATTTCTGGAATAAAAACTATCCTCGCACTATCTCTATACCAAATTTCATCTAAATCGGTTCAGCGGTTTAAACGTGAGGAGTTAACAGACAGGCAGACAGACACACTTTTGCGAGTAGATGAAGATAGGGATGTCTTACACTTATTCATAGTGGGGTGCTGCGGCTGGATGTGGCCCGCGACGGCCGCCGCTTGCGCCGCGGCCGCCGCCTGCGCCGTGGCGGCCTGCGACTGCATCTGGCGGTGGCACTGCCGCAGGTCGAACACCTAACGTGACAACAACCTTACATGTATATCTTTACCGCTCGAGAGCCTCACGGCCACAGTTAATATAGAAGTTAGCTTATATGACTTTATGTTGAAAAATAACAAACTCATTTATATTTGTTTTTAAATTTCATCTACTTGTATTCAACTGAAATAGAATCGTCAAATATGAAGTTAGGATCACGATTACATTTTAGTAGATAGCAAGGCATCAAAGTTAAAAAAAATTAAACCTACATCTGTTAAAAAAAAAAAAAAAAAAAACTTTAGTGTATTTTTAAACAGATTTACATGAACTAACACTGCAATATCATCATACCTTAATACAAGCAGAAGGATATATCTTATGCACAGCATCACCGGGCGCCCTCCCAGCTTCTCTATCCAAATAATACGACTGCACGAACACGGAGTGATCGGATAGACAACGCAACCAAACGTCGCCTTCTCCTCGAAGATCCAATTGCACACCCTTACCGATGTGAAGTCTGCAAACAAATAAACCATCCACTGATTAACATGGACTGCATTCAGTAGAATCTGATGCATTCATCTTTAAGATCGAAGAGCTTTAGTAAAATCATTTAATGCAGACTTGACCATTCAGTATAATAACTTCACACTTCTTACAGTCTGATCCAAAACTAAGTCGAGCCTTTTTTTCCTTTGGAAACCCTCTCGAGTCATCGCCCCACTGGGGTTCGAGATGTGGTGGTGTGTCGGAATCGAACCGACTAAAACCACACGAATAGCCACTCTGCGCCTGAAATAAAAGGGATCCGGGAACTGCTGTTATTGAGACATCCAGACCCCTCCTAGCGCCTGCCCGCAAAACGCGGGCATCACCTTCCGGTGAATTCTGTATTTAAACGACGTACGGCACACGCGGCTGCCGAGGAAAACCCGTCCCCGTCCACTCGCGGCATCACTCAGGGCGGCATGAGGCGGTGGTAAGCGCGCCTCCGTCGCCCGGTTCGCCGGCGACGAATTGAGACCGAGTGGAGGCCCTCTCCGCCGCCTCCTTCTGCGAGATGACGTCTTCACAGAAGAATGCAACCGCGGCTAAACATCTGATACTACCGGCCATGGAGCGTATGACGACCGGTAGCGAGAGTACCCCTCTGATGGACTGCAATGAGGACCCGGCGCTGCGATGCCCGAGCCGGGCAAATGGCCCACGATCTAGGGGCCGAGTGCAAGTACTTTCCGAAACAGACGTCCCCGAAAGGACCTGCGTCAGTCGGAAGGAAAGGGTCCCATGCTGCCGCCCTTCACACTCGAAGATAACCGGCTAGAGCGCCTCCACGGACGCAAAACCAGCACGTGGAACCTCCAACCGGGACGACGCCACTCGCGTATCGCTTCGGGCGGGAGCCGACTGCCACTACTCGCTCGGAATTCAGCCGTCCGCTGATATACTTGGGCGAGCCGCCGCCCATACCGGTCCACCGTACACTGCTATTGACCTGCTATTGATAGTCTTGTCGCGACGCTGGGTCCACCCAAATTGGCTAAAAGTACCCAAGAGCATACGCAGCGTCGACCAGCTTTTAAGCAAGCTGTGCTCGTCGAAGAGCCACCTCGAGGATCAGGCCCAGATATTTCATCTGATCCTCGAGATACAAGAGAACCGGTACGAGGACCGAGTTGACCATGATTGAGGCGTCGGGGGTGGACAACGACGAGGCCCATAGAATAAGAGAGCCTCCGTCTTATCCAGGGCCACGCGTAAGTCCAGTCGATGCTCCCAGCCACCAGAGAGACTCCCCTGGTGGCCAGGTGCGCCGCCTCTTGAAACTAAGCTTAGCCTATGCTATAGTAACAAGACTGCTGATAATCATATATCTGTCTGTAGTCCGTGGGTTAAATAAAAAATCGGTTGTCTGTAAAGTCGGTTTACTGACGATAGTTGAACGTGACAACGTCATAAGAAAATACTGATGGAATGGTTGCATTTTTCAAAAATGTATTATTGTATACGAGTAGCAGCTGTCCACGCGGACGCATCGCTCACTCAAGTAGGAGAGAGACAGATGTCGAACGCTGCCGAACGCGGAGGCCGATTGTGCCTCTTTGTCACTCGTTCCGCGCTCTCGCTTGCACTTCACGCCTTAAATGGAACGCCTCAGAGCGAGGTAACGCCGCATGAGTCATGTTTTTTCGTGCGTGCAGCCGGCTTTATCGAATTAAGACGTTGTCATGTCAAAAATAATAGACGTCAGGTGGTGTCTTACCTGGCTCGTTCACTCTGCTCTGTTCTGTGAACATTGCTAAGTGCGCCTAAACAAAATCTGTTCCCTCCTGACGGATCCACGTACCCATCCACCTGAAATATTTTTTCACAATTAGGTACTAGAAAAACTTGTACAAATATTTTCACATTTTTTTATAAAACCACCACCAAACCATCAAAGACACAAGTTCGTTACCGTATTTTGCGAGAGAACCAACAGAGTTAAGAGGGAGGGGGGGGGAAGGGTTTGGTCCTCCTGTAACCTCTTGCTCGATGAAAGCAACTAAAATCATCGGTTTTCTGTAAGGGCGTAGCACCTCTCTGATACCTTAGGCCCACATAAGATTAGTTTGCCTCTCCCGATGGTATATATTTTTAAAACAATATATACTTACAGTAACATTTGGTCTACTCGAGGGTACTTTAAACGTCTCGCCTACTTGTGTATCCAATTCAAAGTAAGCAACAGAACACCAATACTCAGGCGCAGGTTGGCTTGACAATAAACCTCCTGGGTTGCCATTGTCTGAAAAATTTCAAAAGGTAATATTTTTTCTTTGGTCTACTATTACATGTTTACCTAAATACATTTCGTTTTGTTAATAAATAAATATAAGAGAGATTTTTTGTAACAAAAATTTAACTACAATAATTAATTAATAAAATGTTATAACTACAGTATGTTTGTGTGTAAAGGCGATTTAGGTATATTGAAGTTAGAAAATAAAATAGTTATAGCAAGGGTTAGTGAGTACGGTGCATATTTGTATGTATTATGACTGTGGTCGTAATAAAGTCCCCATAAATTGGAGCAATTCAATGATATATAATAATAAGGCATACTACATTAGCGAACTAAGCATAGCCTGGACTATATGGTACTATGATACACACAAGTCTCTAGATAGAGATTCAAAATATATCCTCGAGAACGAGAGAGAGAGAGAGAGAAGTCGCTGCCTCTTTTTAACATTAACTCAACAACAACCTCAAGCATGCTCACATACATTGCACTAAGCGGGAATCAATCATACTGAGGGCGTTTAAGAATGTGCTTTTGTATGAAAAATAGTATTAGTGAGAGAAGACTGTAAAGAGTGAGTGGAGGCTGGAGGGGTTTGGAAGCAGGTGACTAACAGTAGTGGTGGTGGTGCGCGGGCGCGTCCAGGGCGGCGGGCGGCGCGGCGGGCGGCGGCGCCAGGCTCTGCGTGTACGTCAGCGTGTTGTTGCCCGTCCACGTACCTGCGCACACGTACACCACACTTTATCTCACAAGCAAATAAAGACAGATGCCTAACTCTATTGCGTAAATAGTATAATCTTAACTAAGATAGACATTAAAAAAGTTTTGTACATCTTACATCCTCCTTTCTAAGGAGAGGCCTATGTCCAGTAGTGGCCTATTATAGGCTGTTGATGTGATACATCTTACATGGGGCTGTCTAAGACCATATTTGACTGTGAGCCTATACTATGGTAACCATAATGCTGAGAAACATACCTAAATTTATATCTAAATACATACATTTATAGATATAACTGCACCCAGTCACAGCACCTGGGTAGGAATCGAACCCACGACCTCTGGATTAGCAGTCGGGTTCTCTAACCACTAAACCAACAAGCCAGTCATAGATGTAATCTATACAAATAAATAAAATTGGAGTGTCTGTTTGTAATATTAAAATAACCGCTTTTTACTAAATGCATATGTATGTTTACACGGTACATATGCCAAAATAACATTTTTTTCAATTTTTGTCTGTCTGTCTGTTTGTTCCGGGTAATCTCTGGAACGGCTGGACCGATTTCGACGGGACTTTCACTGGCAGATAGCTGATGACATAACTAGTAACTTAGGCTACTTTTTTTAGACTAGCTCGGCGTTGCCCGCGGTTGTAACACCGGGTAACACCGCGGGTCTCAGCTAGTTTTAATGAAAATCTTTCACCAATGGAAAGCTACATTATCATATACATAGTTTACATTATTATATGGAAAGTGACATAGGCTACTTTTTCCGATAACCGACATACACGCGGGCGGACCCGCGGGCGAAAGCTAGTATTATATAAATAATTACATTTTGGCACATATTATATTATTGATTATCTAACCTTGTTGCTGCTGATGTTGAGTGCGATGAGGTAATGGGCTTGGTTGAGGCGCAGGACTGCCGTCTGTCGTGAAACCGTTCTGTTGCGAACCTTCCCCTGATACTGGAGATACCGCACCAGCTGCAACGCAAACTAACAAGCTATATACAATATTCTTAAAAACTAAAAAAAGCCTTATTTACTACCGAGTTGGCAGTTGAGTAAAATAACTTTAATGGTTGGGGCAGACGGCGGGCAAGATCAGCCACATATCCCAAGCAGTTCAAATGTACTAGCGCCAATCGCGACGGCCCTGTGTGTTATCTTCTGTATTAACTAATACATAACCTGCCCGGTGTCTGCCTCAACCATAAAAGCTTAGGTATATTTTCGGAGTCCTTGTGACTTTAAATAACTACCAAATTTAACATGAATAATAGAAACATAATATTTAGTACCGTGGTTCCGTGATTTGGTCCGTATGGTGACTGAGGTCCGTGTGGTGACGGAATAAGAATACAGAGTGTCACCACCCCTATTCATCCCGTGGGTGTCGTAAGAGCCGACTAAGGGAAAAAACTACGCAGGACAACAGCACTGCACTGAAAACTTGACACAAACCCTATACCAACCCGTCTGGCCAGCGTGGTATAGTAGGCCAAAACCTCCTTTCTAAGGAGAGGCTTATGTCCAGCAGTGGACTATTAAAGGCTGTTGATGATGATGATGAATATTTTGTTATGAAAAACTTATTACACTAGTTATTTTTTTAATAGAATTACCAAATGAGGTTCTATATTTAGTAGTTTTCTACACTTAGTTCTGTACTTACTTTTATTACCAGTAAGACAGATTACACATTAAGAGAAACTAAACCATTACTGTCATTATTTAGGGCTTAAAGTCAATGAACATAAATTTATCTTAGGACACTTACTGGGCAGAGTTTGCGTCAATTGTGTCGTATCGTTGGTGGTTTGTTCCTGAGCGAAGAATGTTGTGGTCGTATTGTCTATAAGCTGAGGAGTTGTCGCTCCCGGTGACATACTGACTGGCATTGTAGCTAAAACATAATGCGTTCTAATCAACAAAAAAAATATTGAAAAAATTTCCTCCTATACGACATTCGCTCTAACGAAGACCAACATTGCAGAACTCATCAAGTTCTTCATAACCTTACTGAACGGCCTTGTATGTGTACCCGCCTCTTATTCTGCTAAATTATATAACAGTGACTACTCTTTATATTAGAAACAAAATAAAATGTGAATCCAAATTAAACCATAAAGTGCAAATCAAAATCGAGAAGCTTACAATGATTCATTCGTTTAGGCAGCCACATCTGGCGCGCATCCATTGTGTCTGGTGGCTCCAATTTTGGGGCGACTGCACGCTGCTGAGCCATTGCGAGCTGGTGTTGTGGACTCGGCAACGACATAGGCCTGTTGAGGCCAGGTATTTGCGGTGTCGCTGGTGACATTTGGGCAGGTGCTGCTGCTAGACGGGGAGAAGCTAACTGCGTTGGCCCTGGTGTCATCTGCGGTCCAGCTGGTAGCTGCGGAGCGGGCGCCATCTGAGGTGGCCCATGAGGCCCAAGCATCTGGGGCCTCGGTGGCGGGTGCCCAAGAGGTGTCATGGGCGGCGCAGGAGTCCGCAGCGGTGTTCGAGGCGCGTGCGTCGGCGAGAACATGTTCGGAACGCCCTCGGGGGCTAACAAAATGCAAAGTAAATTCATCATGCAGCAAAAATAAAAGTAAGGCTCAATCTACGACACGAATTAAAAACATTGACAAAAGCCTTCACAACCGAGTTCTTTTCACCTATAAAGTCATGAATGATTCGTTTTATAACTATACCAGAAAACCACATTACGCAAATAAAATAAACACAATTATGTACCAAAATCATGCTTACTTTGTCCCTGATTGATGATGATGTTAGCCGTCTGAAATTGCTGATGGTGATGAGGTATCGTTGTGTGATGGTGTCGAGGACTTGTGGCGTGGTGTTGTATCGTCACCATCTCCCCTGTGTCCATGTCCATACCGTTACCGCTGAGGCCTGCTGTGTATTCATCCTTTACTAACCTACTGGGGCCTGACTGAAGTGTGAGTCCTGATAAATCTGAAAATATGTTGTTGTTTCACGAGAATACTACAAAGTTTATAAAAACCTATCAGAGCATGAGTTATCTTTCCTCTTGAGCAGTGATTTAAAAAATGAAACGCGCAGTTAAGGTCCTACAAAATGTCAACCACAATAGACAAATGGTCTTAACCCCAGTCTAGACACTATTCTAGGCTAGTGAATACCAGTTTTGAGTACAATAGTCAATTCTTATTGTGAGTTTTAAGAATAATACTCTTTTGAATAATAATACTGACCAATTCCTGGAGACACGACCCTTTCGTAGTGATAAGGGTTTACACAAACTGAGTCACATTTTAAGTCAAAAGCAAATTGACAAAACTTGACATGTTTCAGTTCATTTTTGTGTAAATCAGGCCATCTCCAAATACGAGCGTATATTACGTGAGGAAATCCTTTGCGACCAGCCACCTGCAATGAATAAGGAGACCCTGGAGAATCGATACTTGCATATGCATGAGGAAAGAATCAATATTTTCGGTCGTACAAAACATAAATGACACTAGTTTACAAAGAAAAAAAAATTTTTGTTCATAAAATGAAACATATGTTATTTGTGTAGGCTATGGACGGTGGTTAAAATATTTATTTTTTTTATTTTCCGTAGAACGTCACAATTTTGAGATATAGAGGTCTTTATTTTGTATCTCCCGTAATTGTTTAAATACGTTTATCGTTCTATTTTGCAAACAACTGTGTGATTCAAAATTCTTATTTTTATATAAAAATGTCATTTAGTGTGTAAACTACATCCAAATCGTTTTTGTTATGTCTGTGGGCAAGTTGTTCAGTTAAGTCGTGGTTTCCCTATAACAAAACCGCTTCAAGAAGCCTATTTACATTATTTTGGATTTCCGGTGTCAAATCAAGATAAAAATTGGGTTCCTCATGTGATATGCACTAATTGCAGATTGCTCCTCAGCTCCTGGTAATCAGGAAAAAATTGATCACTAAAATTCGGTAGACCAATGATATGGAGAGAGCCAACTAACCACATAATCTTTTGTTACTTTAGCTTAAGAAAAACTTTTGGTTTTAACTGAAAAAATAAAGATAGTATAAAATATGCAGACGTTCCATCAGTCACTAAGCCGGCCCTTCATTCAGAGGATTAACCAGTTCCCACACCACCTGGCAAAAGTGACACTAAGTACTGTTGTTTATTACGCCTATAGGACTCTAGAGCAAAACAGGATCATTATAAAAGAAGAATTTGGCCTGTACGAGATCAATATGTTCCAGGTAAGATGAAAGTAAAAAATATATGTTGAGTTGACCCTAAAAAAATTTATTACCGCCGCTTCACATTAAGTTGGGCTTGATGAAGATTTTTACCAAAGCTAAGTATAAGTCCAAGCCTGCATTTCAATACCTCTGCTCTGTATTTCCGAATCTTTTTGCGACTAAATTAAAGGAAGGAATACTTGTGGGTCCTCAAATCAGGAGAATATTAGATGATACAAAAATTCGAGAGCCTTTTAACCGAGATAGACAAAGCAGCCTGGAACTCTTTCATAAGTGTCGTTAAAAATTTTTTAGGCTACAAAAAAAGTAACAATTACAAAGAGATTGTTTAAACTCTATCGCAAAATTTTGAGGGTGTGAATATGTCACTAAATATTCATTTTTTGCATTCCCATTTAGATTTTTTTGCAGAAAATCTTAGTAGTGTGAGTGATGAACACGGTGAGCGATTTCACCAAGATTTAAAATCATATAAGCAAAATTATCAAGGTTTTTGGGATCAAAATATGCTATGTGACTAGTGTTGGTCTATTGTGAGAGATACAGATGAAAATATTTTTAAAAAAAGGGCAAAAATTACTAATTTTTAACTGTCTATTGTTTATTTAGATATAGTTTTTTGTAAAAATCTTAATCAATTTTCAAAAATCTGACGTGCTGGATTTTTATAAATATTTTTTCCGAGATGTAGATATCAAAAGTAACGTAACCGTATACATTCCATTTCATGAACAAAACTCATGTAAACTAGTGTTATTTACTACATCAATGTTTAAAATAGTAAAGTGATAATGTAAAATTAGTAGATAATTTGTGAAGCAGGACACCTGTTTTAGCCCCCAGACTACGTATGAATATGTATGTATTTACGTAGAGTCAACGCACCGAAAATAATTAAAACTACCTATTTAAATGTATCAATGACAGGAAATAGTTTTTTACGACATGTTTTAAATCTTGTTCCCAAATACGAGTTTTCACACTACCAAACGCTTTATGTAATCCTGTTTATCTGCAGGCATCATTCATATAGGCAATATTCACCTACTTATGAGATAGAGATTTCTATGTTTCATCTTTCTGCGCTTTGCCCATTTTTATTTGGAATCCGCTCGACCGGATAGAACACATTACATTTCAGAGTATTTATTGTACAGCCGTCTTTCTGGCTAAGGATAATCCTCCTTGGGAAGGTAAAAAGATAAATTAAGATAAAAAAAACGAATAGGACGAGGAGACTAGTGCAACGAATGCTGTAAGATGGGACATCTAGAATAAGACTGCGGCAGTTCGAGGAGGCCTGGGGTCGCATTTCTTATTTACTCATAACCTAAGATAAGATTGTAGCCGTTTTCGATATGTATCTAATGTCAATTAAGGGTACTGCGTAGTTCGTTTATCATACTATCAAGCATAAGTCGCCTGATGTTTGGTTAATTCTCTCCATGTTCAACAAAATCCTTCACACAAAATACTTTATTGTACTCTTAGTGTACCTAAGAGTACAATAAAGTATTATACTGTGAACCTAGTAGGAAATAAATACATGACGCAATATTATCCTTCTATAAACATTTGTTTATGTAATACAAGAATAGAGTACAGTATACCCAAGGTTAGGTATAGTGTTTCTGTGTATAACCTCATAAGCTCACCTCTATAACATGGAAACCTGACATAATATATGTACTTTTCAAATCATGCCCTACCCTTTGTGGGACTAAAGCTTGATGCTTGTATAGCAGTACATCACATATGCAGACTACTCAACGCCCTTGCCATTATGCGTTTTTTCAAATCAGTAATAAAATTTTAAACAAATATAAAAAGCAGTGCAAATAAATGGTAATTAATTTGCACTGCTTTTTATATATATTTTATATTTATAATTTATAATTAATTTAAAAAACTTTACTGCCTTACAAATATACCCTACTAAACATGGCTTTTTAATATTTTTGTATTCATTTTTAAAACCATTTGGCCACAGCCTTGATATATTTTGCCACAATAAAACTGATATTCGGTCCATTAAGACAAATCTATTGACAATCATTCATCATGTTCAATCAATCAATCAAATCATGTTTGTTCCTTCATGTTAAGATCAAATGGGTTTTTAAAGGATCTTTAGAAGCAAGGCACAACAATTCAAATTGAGACCATAAGAGTTACAGTGGTAAAGAGATCTTTTTCGAAATTGTATGAAAAAGAAAAAAACAAGAAGTTTAACCACAATAAAGGTACTTATCATATTACAAGGAGTGAGTGCAACATAATGTATGCTCTTGTTAAAAATAAAAAACAATTTATTCTTAAGTACCAGTATTGAAAAGATTCCAGATCTAATAATTTATTCAAGCTGGTACTGCAGCTAAGCCAGTGATTGTGGGTTTGAAATTCCCTATCCTAGATTTATATAAGTATGTTTATCAGGAGTCTAATTAGCACAGGCTTCACTTAATTTGGTATCAGATGACCATGTGTCCCATATCCACATTTTATTTGGGGTTGGCGCTGTATCTTTCTTAAATTCTACTCTCTACTCTACTCTACTAATTCTACTCTAATTTCACTGTTCACTTCCTTTCCAGCCATATCCTCACTCCCACAGTCCATCAACCTTTTCTTTGGTCTACCTATTCTCTTGTACCCTTTTACTCCTACACCTAACACTGTCTACTACCACTAACCTCCATACCAATAAAACCTATTACTTCTTATCTTTTCATCCAGTTTCCTGACCTTGTCCATCTGAGTCACACCACACATCTAACTATATATATAATATATTCATTTCCATTTCATCTAATAACTCACATATATAAAGGTCATATTCATATTCATCAATTCAATCTATAAAATAAATACTTACTACCTTTTTAAATTGTACATGTGGATTGATTAGATAAAAAACATTGATATTTTTATTAAACCTAGAAATAAATAAAGATAAAAATTAGAATAATTCTCATAGCATACATAAAACCTGTGTAAAACCTAAGACACACAGGTGTTGTGTCTTGTTACAGAAACAAGTATTTGTATATGAGATGGACCTTGAGTGAATTTATAAAAACACTGCTGGGCATTTAAATCTATTTCAAAGAATAAATTATCTTATTAAATGTACATACAATTATTCTTTCAGTCTGAACCAAAAGATACTGTTTCTAACAGATGCCAAATATATACATGAGACCGAATAAGTCTAAAATTGGCTTCAGTCCTATATAGGTGTAAATATAAATATCCTGTGTCAAAATGTGTACTATGTGTGTTATTTAATCCTATAACCTCATTTAAGGTACTCTCTTTTTATTTAAGTTTTAAAGGTTGTATTGTACATAATATATTTGTCAGGCCTATTCATTTTGTTTGTTATAAAAACATAACATAACAATCTACAAGTAGAGACTTCATCATACCAACTACATAAAACTTACTTTAGAATTGTTTTACTTATTTTTTTTTACATGGGGGTTGATTAATTTAAACTCTTATAACTTAAAAACTATCTCTTTTAAAAATAGGATTTATATATTAATATGTCGTCTTCACTTCCTGCCTCTTTCTTCTAATTTATTTATGGTTATGTATCCTTTCCTCTCCGGTTTTCCGACCATTCATCAGTTTACTATGTACAGGGGGTACATAGTAAACTGACGAATGGTCGGACTACTTACTACTACTACAACTATATCTTTTTCAATACATTCTCTTCACCATATTTATAACTACCTTCGCTTCGCAGACTAATCATTTGCCATTCACACAAATAAATTTTATATATTTAACAGCATAAACCCATAAATTTATATTTAAAGTTTAATAATGTTTTTACTTTGTATATAATGTTTTGTTTGCACGTTTGTTGCTGTTTTTAGTTACAAAATTAATAATTTACATTCTATCGTAGGTAGGAAAAATATGATTTCATTTAAAAAAAAATAAAGTCATGTTTTAGAAGAAAAAATATAAATACCTGCAATCTACCATCAAGTGTTCTCTGTATAGTTACACATTTGCTTGGATGAGCCCCATTGGTAGTAATAGCTGTAATCAAAGAGTCTAACTCATCTCTCTTCTCTTTCAACTTCTTTACAAGAGATTCAATGGCTCTCTTAGAGAACCCTTCACTTTCTCCACCTTGTCTGTGGCACATCAGCGAATGTACAATGCTCAGGCATGCGTCTGCCGATGTCGGTGCCGTGGTGTTCATGGCTAAAAAGTATAAGTAATTATAGGTTACAAAAGTCCAAATAAACAGATTAACTCTGATTCAGAATGGAATCAATAAATTTAACTTACTCTTAAATGTTTCAGTATAATAAATTCAATGACTTTTAAATAATTACATTCAATTAAATTAAGTAATGGTCGGATATTATTTTCAATCACAATGCAAGTGGAAGAGCTATAAAACGAAATGCAATTACTACATCAAAAAAAATTAAATTTGGAATTATGGTCCGAAACAGAATTCTAAATTGAGGCTATTTCAAATATACATGCAAATAAGTGAGATAAAATTGAAAATAAAAGAAATTATTCCCGAAACGATTATAGATATTATATGATATCCAAGAATCCATTACACTACCTGATTGTAACACCAGATGCGCGTTAAATAATTACAAATAAAAGCATTTAATTGCTCTGAATTTATTTACTACTATTTATAATAAGTTAACAAAATTAATTTCTTTTATTGTGAGATGAAACCAAAACAGAGAGCGACATTTTGGCGGTCCATAGACATTTAATAGTTAATAATATAGATAAAACACTATAAACCAGAAAGTTAATAGACAAACAATAGTGAAGTTAATGAAGAATAAATATTTTCTTTTACTTGATCCAATGATGTAAACAACAAAACAAATTAAAAGTATCGATAGGTACCAACCAGTTGCTGACGGGTAGTAATAACAATAATACTTAAATTTGAATATTTGATTAACATATCACTACAGGAGGGCAAGTCTCCTAATAAAAGTTTTCTCTCAATTCAGTTCAGAACAACTTTCGATCTCACAACTATCATAAAAGGTAATTTCGTAGTAAATTATTAAACATCCAACGTACTCAATGTAATGTGATTATATCGTATTGAAACGTATTGAAAACCGACAGTAGTACCGATCGACGACGAGCATACGCGAGCCGAGCCAAACACCCCGTCTTCACGTTTGCAAACTTTCCATGCGTGTAAACGCCTTTCACAAGAGTTGACCTTCTGATTACTGCAGTCTACAGTTACAGTGCAGCCTAATTTTGAGTTGTCGGGTAGTGGCACTAGTCAAATAGTCTGCTCTGAACATAGTATAACTTATTCTCTACTACTACTACCTCTATACCTGGTCTAGCTGGATGAGGGATGTCTGTATTGGAATAATGTTATCCTACGATATTGAGCTCTTTAGAGACTATGATCATGATCATGAACATAGTGGTAATGGTAATATATAAATCTTACAAGACTGGTTAAGATGATGAAGATGGCACAGTGACAGTTATAAAAATGAATGACAATTTAAATTGAGCTTGCATACACTCTGATGCAGTATTTATTTTAGCAGATTTTTTAATGGAGAAATAATTGTACAATACTATGGAATCCATATTACTACATTACATACTTCAAAATTATCTATTATAATTAAACTTTGGAGCATAATGTTTTATGGTCTTTTTTTATAACATTTTTAATAAATTAAATTAAAATAGGTTTTTAAATGGAACTATTGTTTGCAAGAAATAAATCACAATGAACTCAGTGCGGGTAAACATTAATGACAACGAAGTTTTGTTATGAAAACGAAGTATATTTTAAGCTGGAGAGGATGAAGTTCATTTTTTTTGCAAATGTGCCATGGCAAAATTCATGAAATAAAAAATATTTTTATTTTATTTCATTCTCAAATAACAACATTTATAGCTTGTAACCATGCTTGTAACATAGCAATATAAAACGAAACGTAATTATCTGTCGAGTTGGGTGATGACAGCGAGCTTTGACAAATTCTAGTTTTTTAATTTCTTCAAAAAAGTCAAAAGGAGTTAAAATAATTAAAAATAATAAAAAAAAAACAAAGCAGTTGATTAGCAAGGGTAGTTATTACTAAACAGTAACCAATGTGCTTATTTCTGTTTTGTAGTTGCAAATAAAGTGGGTGGATTCCATTCGTACTAATAAGCGGATTGTTATTTGTGTCATGCCCGCAAAATCTACGGATTGCGCTGATGATGAAAAGTGGATAAATAATGAAGGGAGTGGATAATTTAATAGCTGACCGTGAAGGAATGACAAACAAACCGATTGTAACATGTAAGTATTGCTAGATGTCAAATGAATATATTTTTATTAAGGCTAAATATATAATTAAACAAATCATAAACATCAATAGGCGCAGGAGACTGGAACTTGTTCTGCACTCTAGAGGCGCCTTTGGTGGCAGCTATACCTCAAGATTCATGTGAATGGAGGCGGTCATATGGTCGGGCCACCAAATCTGTTTACCTGGAAGCATCATTTATTAAATACAATAAAGACAAGGTTCTATCAGAACTAAATCTATTGAAAAAGCCCATACTTCATATTTACTGGACTGACTGTGTGGTTTGTATAGTTGCAATTTAATTAAATATAAGTAAAAAAAAAACTTCTTATTTCTTAATGTGATATATTGGCTGTAATCCAACCAGTGCCTCTAACATGTTTAATTTTATTTTATGATTAGGGAATACTTACAATTAGTAAAAAGATGTACAGAAGTCAATAGCATAAGAAAGCCAGTTAAATTGTTAAAGTTTTTACATGGACAACAAAATGAAATATTGACTAGCAACAAACAGAAAAAAAAATGAATATAATAATAATGTAGAATAAAAAAAAAGATAAAGAACAAACAGTATTAGTGAAAATGTTGAAGTACCTATTCTAAATTTGTACATCATTATTATTCTAAATATCAAAAAATGCACTCCAATCATATGTGTTTGTCAGTGATGTACAAATTTAAGTGATAACTTAGGAAAGCAAAATATTATAACAAAATTAGTTAACCTCCTTTCTAAGGATTAAAGGCTGTTGATGATGATAACAAAATTGTATACAGGTATAGGAGCTATGTTAACCATATTAAATTTTGAACAGGATATAGAATATTACAAGACAACGCTAAGAGAAGATATAGAAACATGGCACAAACAACTCGATGCTGTAACAGACTGGATGATAGTATTAGTAGAGACTTATGACATACGGAAAACAAACAAATTGTTGCCCAGAACAACCGTTTTGGACAAAATTAAGGGTGATTTTGGTGTAAAGCAGACCGAAGATAGATTTATAACAGTTATAAATCCAATAAAATCGGAAGCAAGGAGTGCAGAATCATGGCGGTCGCTAGTAGCAAAAATAAGACATTTTATACTAGTGGCATACAACAAGTCACTTATAAAGTTTGAAGAGCATATGAGAGAGCAGAGGGAAAAGCGGAATGATCCAGAGTGGGATTTTTGTAAATATTTCATCTTGCAGGTAATTTAAATATTTGTATGTGACCGTTTTGTATTAAGGTAGCAAAGGTACTAAGGTACTAAGGTAGCAAACTACGCAGGACAAAAGCTTTGCAAAGAGAAGGAAAACTTGAAACAAACCCTAAACCAAAACCAAGGTTAAAACCTCCTTTCTAAGGAGAAGCCTATGTCCAGCAGTGGACTACTAAAGGATGATGATGATAAAATAGTAACAGCTCATTAAGAAATATTGATTGTCAACAATTTGTTTGTCTGAAAATACAATCTTACTAGAATCAGTCTGCTGTTTATTTTGTATTGAAGTCTATGGTGAGGTACACTTTTATTTTTTTATTTTCAGGAACAGCTGGCATTTGTATTAGAAATGCTAGGCTTGTATGATGAGGCTTTAGTTCAATATGATGAATTAGATGCTTTGTTTTCCCAATTTGTGCTCAATTCTAATGTGACAGAAAGTCCAAAATGGCTTGACACATTTAAGCAACCAGTGACATCTTGGCAGGCAGTACGACTAACTGCCTTAGTTCCACAGCAACTGAGAGAACTAATAATAAAAAGAAAGGCTTCGCTGTTGGATTTTAGAAGCTACTTGTTTCAACGTCAAAGTGCCATGTTATTACCTTCTTCTAAACCTTGGGAGGTATGTAAATAAATTATTATTTGAAAAAACTTTCGTAACTGATATTCATATTATTTAAAAATAAAAGGTTTTTGAAATTATAAAAGAATAGGGCACTGTTGGCTTTAATATGACTTTGCTCACCCCTTCAAGGATACATATGTTTTTACTCACCTGTGTATGTCGTCTCTGTGATACCACTGTAATTTGTAAATTGACATAATTCATCACTCTTTGAGAAAGGAGTCCTTCATGTCTGAAAATCGTTGTGCTTTACCCAAAACACACATTAGCAAAAACTAGACATGAGAAATATGGCTACTTTTAAAGCAAGCACTTTTTTTAGATTCAGATCTTTTGCAAGTCTTGCGCTACCGTAATAATAATAATTAAGTAGCAGTGGTTTTTTTTAATTGGTCACTGGGGTGATGATATGATTATAAATCATATCAGTTATCACATGTGATTGTGATTTTATTCCATCCCTAGTAAAAACCTTTAATAAATACAATAGATTTATGTCTGTTGAAAGTGACAAGGGAACCACTGCCACATTGGGTAGGCATAAATAAATTTAGCAAATTAAAATGCACTTGACTGGTTAAAAGCATTTTAGTACTTACAGATTAAAGTATGTTTATTTGTGTGTTTTGTTGTGTTTTGTTACCAATTTTGATAATATTTTACTACCAGGTAGCTCTCTATATAAGGAGGAACTTATGCAATTTTCCTCTTAGAAAAACCCTTCTGGTCTGGGAACCAAACCAGGAAACCAGCTAGTGTAATATAAATATAAAAAGTGCTGAAACAGATTTAAGCTTACCATTTAGATTTTGCTAGTTCTAGATTTTTCTAATAGATTTTATAACACATAAAAGCAAAAGTTCATAAAAATAGTGAGTATATTAGCTATTATAATGACCAGTGTCAAGCATACAAACTTTGGTATCATTCATGGTATCTTTCTTTCATCACCAAAAAAATTATTATGTTAACCAGCTGTACCCTGTCACGTTTCGCTGTGGCACATTATGGTTCCTAAAAAATAGATAAAAGCCTTATCTGTGTGAGAGTGTGGTGCAGAAGTTTTTGAATCGTACATAAAACAACTTAACATTTTTATATATTTAGATTGTTTCTTTTAAAATCCTAATCTCTCATCTTTTCTACAATATGTGAGAGTGACGGAAATGTATAACAAGAAGCCGAGAAAGCGCATGCTATATGATTAGACCAATGAGGTTCATATACGTTATACTTCCTTCCTCCGAGCCTTTTTTCCCAAAAAGGTTGGGGTCGACTTTAAGTCTACCACAATATGGCTGAACTTCGATTATTTCGACCTCCACAACCCAAGAACTAGGCGATATCGAAGTTCTATAGAAAGATTGTTGTCGGACTTTTTAGGGCTCCGACTACCCGTAAAGATTATTATAGATGTTCGTATGGCAACCGGGACCGACGGCTTAAGGTGACGGCGTAAGAATGGTCACCCATCCATAGACAACCCGGCTAGGTTTGCTTGCCTTCGCAATGTGTTAACCTACTCGGTTACCATGTAGCCACGAGCTACCTACTAATATACGTTATACATATAAACAAAACAAGATAATATAAAGAAAGTTATAGATAGTTCGGCCGTAACGAGAATCAACCCTCAAAGGTGTGATAGGCTTACATGATTGCCCAAAAAATTTTTCAGGGTACAAACCCTGAAAATATTTTTTGTATAAGTATGTTTTATGTAAGTATGCATCTATGTTCGTATGTATGTATGTACATCTTTAGGCAGGTGTAGGTAGGCTAGGTTGCCCTCGGCCCCGCTCGCGTTGTTTTACAAAATTTTATCATGATGCACTCACAAGTAACAACTAGCATAACAAACAAACCGTTTTTATGTACGCAGTGTATGCGTTCCTGAGTAAAAAAGTCTTGACAGACAGATAAATGGACACCGAAGTGATCTTAATTATTCCTTTTCTCTTTTTGATAAACGGAACCCTAAAAACACGTACAATGGTGACAATGAAGGCGACTATTAAAGTAGTTAATGTGTCAATTAATGCCAATGTTATCCCCTAACATTAATTGCTTTTTATTTCTGAATGTTGCTAATTTAAAACCCTTTTGAATGAAATGCGGGTAACATTTATTTTATCTTAAGAACGACGTTTTGTGTGCTATTCTAGTACAGTTTTAGTATTTTTAGGCTATATCTAAACCAGTGTTAGCAGTTCTTTCGTAAGGGTGCCGCCAAGTGCGTGAGGGTGCGGCGTCCAAACCGCCCCTTCTCCCTGATGACGGAGGAGAGGGATCAAATGGTGGCTTAAGTTGCAATTGTCCATAGGCGGCCGTAGTCACTTACCATCAGGTGACCCGTCTACTCGTTTGCCCCGCACACCATACAAAAAAACCTAACCGCAAAGCGTCTGACAGCACAATATTACCCATAACACAACTGGCACAGTATCGCTGGTGGTATTTTATGACTCACCAATCAAATTCATATTACTCATTATAAATGCGATAGTGTCTGTCTATCTGTCTGTCACCTCTTCAAGCTTAAACCGCTGAACCGATTTAGATGAAATTTGGTATAGAGATAATTAGAGTCCCGGGAAAGGACATAGGACAGTTTTTTATCCCAATAATCACTCTTTAAGGGGTTGAAAAGGGTGATGGTAGTTTGTAGGGGAAATAAATAACTGTTGAGCCGATTTTAATGAATTTGACGAAAAGAGACTTTGATTCTTGAGGAAGGACATAGGCAACCGATACCGATACGCGGGCGGAGCCGGGGGCAAAAGCTAGTGGTATTTATAATTTACGATATACTGTATTTTCAGGTCCAATAAATAGCTAGACTAATACTGTGCCTAATCACATGTTAAACTTTTCTCATAATAAAAATCACAATACACAAATAAATACACAAATAAATCACACACATAATACGATAATGATATGTAAAACGATACTTGTAATTATAAACCAATATTTTACCCACGGCTGGCCATCTGTGACGTGTCAGTCCACAATATTCTGTTATTTACTACTTGTGGTAGGTCAAGTGTGGAGAAAAATATATTTTGTTACGTCATAGGTGGGCTATCGCATATGTGATTGTTTTTTTTCGACAAAATGATTTGTTATCTTAAATAGAAATTTCATTTTATTTTTATTTTGTTTCCGCTAATGTAATTACGATTTCTTTTGCATATTTTAATAAATATTTGACTATGAATTTATATAAGCTATACTGTAGTGAATAAAATAATTATATTTGCCATTTGGTAAACATATATTTACTTACATTAAATTAGATTTTTCTTAAAAAAAATGTTTTCGAAGTTAATACAATCTTGCAATTTTTGAGGTATACTCGTATTACACCTGGTAAGACGTAGGTGTCACCTAACAAGATTATAGATATTTAACATTAATTGCCCTTAAATACCTATTATTCGTTTTCAACTTTAATTCAATTATTTTAAAGTAAACATTTCAAGGACTAGGCATTTAATATACATATGTATATTTTTTTGTCTACTACAGATTGCCTCCCGTTGTTTAACCACCGTCCACAACACTCTCGTCGAGTTACAACTGCTCGGCGCCAGTGCAGTAGAGGGCGCTGCTGCGTGCTGGGCACAGCTCGCTTGTGCAGAGACGCTGAGAGCATGCGAGCGTTTGGCAGCCAATAACAACGCACTCGATATGTGTACAGCCATGCAGGCACCACTTTTGCACAATGCTAAGGATAAGGTACATACGTATAATGCGTTTCCTTCCGCGTATTTTCTATATAAAATACATTTTTTATTGTTATCATTGGCTAGTAATAACAATAGCTATTTAAATAATTATAAAAATAAAGACTGTGGAAAACTAACATACAAGTTAAAAAAAACGATAGGGGTCAGCGCCGACCGAAATGAATAATCCTCGCGCGGTCTTGAGCATTATCTCGGCGCACTTTTATAGCAATATTTTTAAAGGTTATTTTTGAGTGCCTTAAAGAATCCTCCCCTTGGTCTGCGCTGGTCCTAATTTAAAATATACTTTTAAATATCCAAAGAAAATAATGAATCTAGCATTAAATATATATCTAAAACCAAACAGATGATGGCAGGTATATTTCTAAAATGTATAACACTAAAAGAAACAGCAAAGCCAGTCATTTCATTAAAAAAAAACAATGTTGCTTAAGAATGAGTGATGTACGGGATATCCATATCCTGTATCCTTGACAGTATCCGATACTTTTTAGCGGATCTTAAACGAATCTTTTGCATTATCATATTTTTATTATATTATAAATTTCAAGACTTTTGTTTCAATTAAATATTAAAATAGCCATTTCATATCTTTATAACGAGATTAAAGTACCAGTATTCAAACACAGTATCCACGAAAGTTTTATGTTTTAGCTACACGAACTAGGAAAGCTATGTGGCCTCCTCCCAGGCTCACCAGAACCATCTTCAGAACAGCTACACCTGGTTGTAATGCTGTCAGCTGGTATGGGGGACAGCGAGGCAAACAATCAACATCCCACCCCAACGGATAGACTGAAGGAGGCGCTGTGCAGTAAGACCTGCTTTCAGCAATATTATCTGGAGCTTGCTGAACTGGCGATGGGGACTTATAAACATATTGGTAGATTAAGGTTTGTAAGTCAAGCTTCCCCTATATCGCTAGTGAGCTAATTCAATAGGACCCATTGTGATTAATAGAATTGATCTTTAAAGGAATTTGTTTAATATAGAATAAAAATGATTCACAATTGCAAAGTCCAAAAAAAAATACTTTTTCAGAGTATTGTAGTCAAAGTAGAACCATTATTACATGCTTAAAGTTTTTATTCAAAAAACTGTCAATAAATTTTAACAACTAAGACGGCGATGGCACTAATGGTCATCACCATCAACAGCCTTTAATAGTCCACTGCCGGACATAGGCCTCAAGTCAAGTCAAGGCCTTTCCTTAGAAAGGAGGTTTCTTCCTACTATATTATGCTTTCCAGACGGGTTAGTATAGGGTCTGTTTCAACTCTATGGTCCACCTGTAACTTCGCTCACACAGGAATAGCAGCGAATGAATTTCTTAACTCCGATTTTCTGTGATGCTGTAGTATTTATGTATTTACACATGGTGGTGACATTAGCGGACTTAATCACTTAAAGGCATTCTCTGCCAGTCTACCATTAGGTGATGCTATAATTTTGGCTAATATGTGCCGAAACGCACATATGTATGAAATAGAATATGCTATTTAATCTCAAAAAGTTATTTTATAGTTTCACCAGCATTTGCCCGCGACTCCGCCCGTGTGTATGTCGGTTATCGCGTTAAATAGTAGCCTATGTGCTTCCTCAAGAATCAGACTATCTCCATACCAAATTTCATAAAAATCGGTTGAGCGGTTATTGATGCATACAAACTTCTACTCTCCTCTTCACCCCCTTAAAATATGATTGCTGGGATAAAATCTATCCCATATTCCTTTCCTTTGACTCAAACTATCCCTGTACCAAATTTCATCTAAATCGGTTCAGCGGTTTAAGCGTGAAGAGGTAACAGACAGACAGACACACTTTCGCATTTATAATATTAGTATGAATTTTCCAGGTTCGCTCGTCTAATAGGTCGAGACCTGGCCTCTTTCTACTCGGAGCTCGGTGAGACAGGAAAGGCAGTAGTATTCTTGATGGACGCGTTACGGTCTTACGAGGAACAAGGATGGAAAGACCTGGCGGCGCAGACCAGACTGGAGTTAGTAGCAGCGGCAAAAAAAATGAATGATGCGGACAGGTAATAATTAAAAAAATATAAAGTTGAAAAAAAACTACATTCAAATTATAATTATTGCAGCCAACTAACAGCTGGCAGTTGGCAGCAATTGTAATATTGTTTTATGTCTGTTCATGATTATTGCTTCGCTTAGCCTATAATTAGGTCTAACAAAAATTTGATATAACCGCTCCAGAGATCCGCCTTATAACAAACAATTAAACAAAAAACTCTTCAGCTTAATTATATTAGTATAGATTAATCAAATTGATTAAATAAGTCATTCATATTTATATAGACTCCAAAATGAGTGTTTTTTTTTTGTTTACTGGCTTGTTGAATTTTCAGATATACAAAGCTTTCAGCTACGATAGCAAGCACCGCCGAATTAGAAATACTAGTCAGAAACTTCTATTTCGAGGAAATGATGAAATGCATACGAGAAGAGCTGTCAAAAAAGACCGATACTGTACTGACTGAGCTCAATGAATGCTTTAAGATCGTATCTGCTAGTTTAGTGCCGTCAGAAAGAGGAGTTTATATCACTGATAATACAGTTCAGTGTCGGTTGACGGTGATCAGTTTCCTTCCCAGGGAAGTGAGATGCAGTAAGGCAGCGATAAGTATAGAGCATTGTAAAGATGAGAAAGAAAAGAAGTTGGTCAAAGGACATAAGACTGATTTAGCTAGCGGTAGTGTAGCGTCGCAGACTAACTCCCCTAAACGGGGGCTTGTTGGAAGTGACAATGAAATTACTAACTTAATTACAAGGTAAAAGAACACTATAATGCTTAGAATGTATTTTGTCCGCGTTTCTGAACACAGTTTTCGTTATAACTCGATAATTCATTTTATTATATTAGAATAACCAAATTCAAATTCATTCCAAACTATGTGGGAAACAAATAAGATACTTGTGTCTCCCTCCCCTTTCTTGTGTTGGTAACAATTTTTCAAAATCTCCATCAAGAGCTATAAGTTCGCAAATTGTATAAATAGTCGTGGTTATCTAAAGTACCAGAAATATTATTATTACATTACATACATACACATATTACATTACTTATTTCACACTTACTTGTTTGTCAACGTCTTTTAGTATTATACTACACACTACATAGTTTTGTTTTATACTATTAAATTAGCAAACAAGTACTATAGTCCAGACTATAATACTAGTAATGTAATGTAGTAACGATCTCACTCAGCTCTTCTGTAGACGAACTACGTCTACATGAAATTAAATTATCTTTAACTGTCTAACGATTACTGTATTTTTTTCGTACGTATCTCTTTAAGTCATAACTTTATTTTTGTAATTTCAGTATAAGACTGGACGACTTAAAACCTAAAAACCCACTAATAAACCCTTTACAAATTAGTGCCCAATTACACTATAAAGAAGATAGGTCGCTACAAAAAGCGACAGTTGAATGCCAAAACCCTAAAGTAACCCTTAAACGCTCGGACAGTTGCAAATATAGGAAACCTTCCGCAACCTCGAGGAGTAGTTATGAAAACAGCTTCGCAGTCGAAGGGTTAACTCTAAAACCTGGGACGAATGAGTTCACCTTAGAATATCCAGCGAAAAAATGTGGCATGTTCAAGCTTGGACAAATTTCACTTTTAGTGGAAGAAAAATTAGAGTTTCTGTCCAATGTTCTGATTGGAACTAAGGTTGGATTTGAGGTTGTCACTCAAGGAGTGAATGTGTATCTGAATAAAGTGGAGCCAAAGAAGGATTTGGTGGCTGGATTGGAACATGCGATGGAGTTAGTGGTGACTAGTGGGAGCTCTCACATTGAAGAGGTTAGTACATCATTATTCGTGTGTCTGTTCCTGTAATAGGTACATGCAAACCACTGCAATCCCTATAATACCCTGCCATGCTTCGCTGTGGCACATTCTGATTGAAAAAATAGATTAAAACCATCTTTGAAGCGTGTTTTATATTGTTTTTAAAGCGTACATAAACCAACATAACTTTACATATATTTATGTCATATATATATATATATTTATATATGTATATGACATAAACCAACCATATATATGTATAACAATATAAAACACGCTTCAAAGATTGTTTTAATCTATTTTTTCAATCAGAATGTGCCACAGCGAAGCATGGCAGGGTACAGCTAGTAATTAATATAATTGTTTTCAAAGGCCGATAGTTAAACTACAATTTACTTCCATGACACTGTAATGCACAGTAAATGGTATGGTAACCTAATACCCTGCAAATAAATTGTAAATTTATAGGCTGCTATCAATATTTACAGCATTTTCATCTTACTGCGTTATGTTATTAGGACCGATAGGAGGTACTCGTAGGATGCGGACAGCACAGAACGGGTTGTTGTGGACAGCCTTGGGGAAGGCCTATGTCCAGCAGTGGACGTTTATCGCCTGAGATGATGATAATGACACAGAGGTATGCTTAGGCTTACTGCAGCATGCCAAAGCATACCTCTGTATGCTCGGCCTCTCCGCTCTCTCTGATGAGACCTAGGGATCTTGAAATAAAATATGTATATTGTAAAAATAATATAATTAAATATCGGCGAATACTTATAGCTGTGCACTAACTTATAAGAATACTTTTGCCATTATTTTAGAACACAACGATACTTCTCAAAACATCCTCGGGCCTTCTCATCCGCTTTGCCGAAGATGATTGCGCAATGCTTCGAGAGTTATCCATCAAAATACCTGCTATGGAGCCATTTCAAACGTCACGGGTGCCACTTAAATTGTTTGCAACGTTGCAACCTAAAAAAGAAAAAAGTGTTGAACATACGGTAAGTTGGATTCTGTTCTTTACGCCAGGTTACATTAAGTTCGATAATTCAATGTGTAACAAACTACGTTACATATTACATTGCAAATAAATAAATCTATCATTCTATCGTATTAGAAATACAAACCATTCTGATGCCTCACCTTACTCTCTTCTTAGGTATGGTTAACCTGCCCTTGGTGGGAACCCCTAACAGAAGTTCCTCTCCACTTCTACCCTCCGATGGTAGCAACCTGGCGTCTCCTGACATCCAACACAAGAAAATTTGTCAATGTGACTCTCAAATCCAATGTGGTGCATCTAGTGCAGTTCGCGCTGACTGAAGCCAAGCTGGAGTGTGATGGAAACACGACTGTATCGGACTTGAATCCAAAAACAGCTGAACATATGGTGAGAAATTCTATTGTACTATTAGAATTTATATCTCTGTTATCTAAAAATGATTTAATTTTGGGTTAGATAACTTTTTGAGACATACAAAGTCAACTAAGGATGAGGTTCTTCATCCATATCAAATTATACATAGGTAATCATCATCATCGAGCCTTTTCCCAAACTAGGTTGGGGTCGCCTTTTAGTCTATTACGACACGGCTGAACTTTGATTTTTTACGTGGAGCGACTGCCATCAGACCTCCTGGAATAGGGTAGATTCCTAAGTTTAAAATAAATTATTTCGCCTGCATCATTAAATGTAAAGTAGAAGTGAAGTAGAGCCTGAATTGTCCTCCATTATAAATTTAATATTTTTATTCAATTAAAACATTTACATTTTAGTTTTTTATTTTTTCTGGGTGTTTCTAAGTATAATATGTATTTACAAAAAAAAATAGTACATGTATGTATACCAGTTGTCTAGTACCCATAATACAAGCTCAGAACTCTTAGTAGAGTAGTACTAGATGGCGTTGTGTGAATGGTAGAAGTGATATAGAATATTATTATTATTCCTGTTACTTTCGTATGAAATGACATCACTTAAAAAGAGCATTAAATTTCGAGAAATTGTATTTGCTATTCACTTCTAATAAAATCGTTGGTGTCGTAAGAACCGACTATGGGAGCAAACTACGCAGGACAACAGCACTGCAAAGAGAAAGAAAACTTGTAACAAACCCTTTTTTTTTTTTTTAACGTGTGGAAATCCCCTCGGACCGTCACCCCTCCGGGGTTTGCGGCGGGGTGGTGTGTCGGACTCGGACCGACTAAAACCACACGGTGTGCCACTCTGCGCCTGTAACAGGAGGGATCCGGGAACAGCTGTTGTTAAGACATCCGGACCCCTCCTAGCGCCAGCCCGCTCCTGGTGCGGGCTCCGTCTCGATGTTGTTCCTCTCTTTAGGCGACGTCCGGCACACGCGGACGCCGCCCCCTCGCGGCTGGCCAAACTAATGCGGGTGGAGGGGAAACCCACCCCGTCCACCCGCGGCCACACTCAGGGCGGCATGAGGCTGTGATATGCGGGCCTCCGCCGCCCGGTTCGCCGACGGCGGATCGGGTCCGAGTGGAGGTCGTCCTCCCGGGCCCTCTCCGCCGCCTCCTTCCGCGAGATTACTACCTCGCAGAAGGTTGCGACCGCGGTAAAACAACTGTCGCTACCGGCCATGGAGCGTACTACGGCCGGTAGCGAGAGATCCACTCCGATGACTGCAGTGAGGGCCCGGCGCTGCGCCGCCCATGCTGGGCAGACCGCCAGCGTGTGCTGGGCCGAGTCCTCACTGCAGTCGCAGTGGTGGCAGGCGGGACTCAGTTCCCTCCTAGCGACCGTGTGCAGGTACTTTCCGAAGCAACCGTGCCCGGAAAGCACCTGCGTCAGCCGGAAGGAAAGGGTCCCGTACTGCCGCCCTGCCCACTCGGCGATGACCGGCTGGAGAGCCTCCACGGCGGCGAAGCCAGCGCGTGGAGTCTCCAGCCGGAACGACCAACGAGCCATCGTGGCTCGGCGAGCGGCTTCGCGCCACTCGCGCACATCCTCGGGCGGAGGGCGAAATCCGCTCTCCGCCCGGGAGTCAGCCACTCGCCGATAAACTTCGGCGAGCACTTCCGCCTCCAAATCCCACGGGGGAGTTCCGGCCAACGCGCATGCCACCTCCGTAGAAACGGTGCGGTAACCGCGTATGGCTCTGACCGCCATTACCCTCTGAGGGCGCCAGAGGCGTACCCTATTCTGGGCGGTCAGAGCCGCCGCCCACACCGGTGCACCGTACAGCGCCATTGACCGGACAACCCCCGTGTACAGCCGTCCGTGACCAGCTTTGGAGCAAGCTGTCGGAAGTGCTCGTCGAAGAGCCACCTCCCGTCGAGGATCAGGCCCAGATATTTCATCTGGGCCCGAACCGGTACGAGGACCGAGTTGACCACGATTGAGGCGCCAGGGGGTGGACCACGACGGGGCCCATGGAATAACAGGGCCTCCGTCTTATCTAGGGCCACCCGTAAGCCCAGCGCCTCAATGCGCCCGACCACCAGGGAGACTCCCCCTGTGGCCAGGCGCGCCGCCTCTTGGAAGTTTGCCCCCCGGGCTGTCACGAGGGTATCGTCTGCGTAACAGATTACACCCAGCCCGGGGGGGAAATCGGCGCGAAGGGCCCAGTCGTACCCTATGTTCCACAAGAGGGGTCCAAGAACAGACCCCTGTGGAACACCGCACGACATGGGCCGACACCTCAGATTACCTTCTCGGTCCTCGTACACCACGGTACGCTCCTCTAAATAGTCTGCCACTAGCCGCCTCAGGTACTTTGGCACCCCATGATAGTGGAGTGCTTCCCTGATGCAGCTGAATGGCAGACTATTGAATGCGTTGGCGATGTCTAATGACACCGCCAACAGCACGCCGCCACAGCTCACGGCCTCTTCGGTCACGGCCCTCAGGCGCAACACGGCGTCGACTGTCGAACGCCCCGCCCGAAAACCAAATTGGGCGTCCGACAGATCGGGGCCCACCTCGCAGAGGTGCCGGACGATGCGGGCAGAAAGAACCCTCTCAAACAATTTGCCCGCCTCGTCCAGCAGCACGATGGGCCTATAGGCCGCGACCGAATCGGCAGGCCGTCCCGGCTTCCTCAATAGGACCAGCTTCCCGCTCTTCCAGCACTCAGGGAAGCGTCCCGACGCCAAGCTAGCGTCGAACACCTCCCCGAGGCGGTCTGCCATGTGGTTGAGGGCCAGGGCCAGCACTCGGGCCGGTACCCCGTCTGGCCCAGGGGCGGTGTTCTTGGAACGGATCCGTAGAACAGCCGCCCCTACCTCCGAATCCCGGACGGGCGGAACATTGTCCTCCCCGAGCTCCCCGTCGTCTCCGGCCAGGGATGCCATCGACGGGGGAGTGTGTTCCGCTCGTTGTGGGAAAAGGCCCTCAACCACTTCTCGCAGGAAGCTGGGCTGGAGAGTCTCCGTAAGGGGGGGGCCCGACGCGCGGAGCTTTTGTCGCACCGCGCGGTAAGGGCGACCCCAGGGGTCACGACTAAGACCCTCCAGCATCTCCTGTCTCTTTTCCTCTTTGGCGCGGCTAATGGCCAGCTTCAGAGTTTTCCGAGCCCGTCGGTACTCCTCATGAAGCCGGTCCTCCTCACCGTCTCCACGGTGAGACCTCCGGGCACGTGTACAGGCCGCACGGAGGTCCGCCAGCTCCTGGGACCACCAGTAGACCTCCTTCCTTGGAGGCCGACGACCTCGAATGCGGGGCATGGCCGCATCGCAGATATGCGTAATCGCATCGCGAAAGCGACCAGCCCCCACGTCAACCTCCTCGGTCGGAGCCTGTGGAGACAGCCACGAGTGTATTATGGCTGCCTCCTCTAGTAGGTCCCGGTTCAGTCTGGCAACAGCCCACCGCGGAAAGCGGGATAAACGCCGCGCCACGTGACCCCTACTGGAGTCCTGGGTCCGGGAGAGCTCAAATCGGATATACAGGTGATCCGAGAGCGTCTCAACCTCTTCCAGGACACGCCAGTTCCTTACTCGTGCGGCGAGGGCGGGGGTAGCGAACGAGAGGTCCACTATCGACCCCCCCTGCTGTCGCACGCACGTGTTGGTGCAGCCTCTGTTGAGAAGACAGAGGCCCACCGAGGCCGCCCACTCCTCTACGGCCTCGCCCCTTGCGTCCGTCCTGGGGGAACCCCACGCAATGGACTTTGCGTTGAAGTCCCCCAGCACAAGGACGTGCCCAGACGCTAGTCGCCGTATCGAGGTCTCCAAGCTGGTTAGGAAAACCTCGAAGTCGTTCAAACTCCGGTTGGGGGAGAAATAAACACCATATATGGTGATCCCCCCCCACTCGACGGCAACATATCCAGTGCCCTTGTCTCTTAGCGACAAGGGCGGGGAATGAGCCGTCGTGGAACCGACGACTGCCACGGAGCCGTCCCGGTCACCCATCCAGTTTGGACGGGGAGGGACAGAATAGGGCTCCGCGACTACGGCAACACCTATCGACCACTGTGCCATGGTTTGCAGGAAGAGATCCTGCGCCGCGGCACAGTGGTTCAGGTTCGTCTGGACCAGGAGGCTGGAGACCCGATCCATTACTGGATCGTCTCTACAGCCTCCTCCATGGGCGACGACGTCGACGCACGAACTACATCGGAGGCAGCCTGGGTCGACTGGCTAGCCCCCGATGCTTGCTGAGAGTTGCGGGGAGGCTTGCAGCCCCCCTTCCCCATCTGGTGATTGGCGGGCTTGTTACCCGCCGCACACACCGGGCAGTGAGGAGCGGCAGTGCATTCCACCGCCACATGCCCCGGTCGACCACAGCGGAAACATAGTCCGCTGCAGTCGAAGCAGCTTTGGCACTTGACGCGCGTGTGCCCCGATGCTAGGCATTTGTAACACCTCATCGGTCTCGCCGCCAGGACTGTGATCCTAGCGCTCACGAAACCGATGAGCAGCCTGCCGGCGTCAGCCAATACTTTGGCCGACGCTACGGGACAGCTGACCCACACGGCGCCAAGCCCCTTTGGACCGGGGCGGATGGTGCCAACCCTGACGTTGTCCGCGCTGCACCCCGTCTCCCGGATTACAGCGCGGACATCTTCGGCCGTCACAGAGTCGTCCAGGCCCGAGATGCGCAGCTCCGCGCACTTGGTAGGCCTGGCGATCTTGACACCATCTGTGGTCGCGAATAAACCCCGCAGCCTCTCAGCGAAAGTGTCCGCCGTCTTGGCGCCTTCAGCCCCTGGGAACTCGAGAACTCGAGCTCCCGTTTGGGCGAGGCGCATTTTGACCCCCACCGTCCCAAAGTCGGTGGCGAGGCTGTCCCGGGCCTTTTTGAAGACGGCCGCGTAGGACAGCCCGCCGTCAGCCGCCTCCGGGGACACGGTCACAACTACAGCCGCGGTTTTGGGCGGCTGCAGCTTCCGCGGTGCGGAGGGGCCCGGCAGGGGTGTCGGAGTGGGGAGCGGAGGGAATGCCACTCCGCTCCTCGGCGCCGTTTTAGGCCCCGTCTTGGCCGGCACTTTGGCCTGCGCCTTGGCCGGCGCCTGGGACGGTGCCTTGGCCGGCGCCTGGGCCGGTGCCTTGGCCCCCCTCCTCGGCTTTTGGGGAGCCGATGGAGTCGGGGCAGACGCCGCCGCCGCGTAGGAGACGCGGCCTCCCACTACGGGGAGCGCGGTCGGAGCGGCGGCCTTAGGCCGCTGTGCCGACGCGAGCGGGGGGCGCACAACCGGCGCAGGGGGCAGTCTCGCCTCCAGCCCCGCCAGGCGTCCGTCCAGCATATTCCCAACTGCGATGAGGATTTCACGCAGTTGGGAGTCAAATGCCCCTGAGTTGGTGGTAGGGGCAGGCTGGGACGCGGACGGGGCTTCCCGCTCGGGGAGGTTCTCCTCTCCTGCACGGACACGGGAGCCTGGGGGGCATTTCCCCCCACCGGCTCCCGAACCTTGAGCAGGAGATCCGCGATCTCCTCCTCCGCTACGGCCTCGCCGTCCACCCGTCCGTTCCTGTACGACTCCGCGTTTGAGAACGCGGAGCCTGACGGGGTCGAGACCGGGGCCGAGGCAGGTTTGCGTGCCCTCCCTCGGCGGCTGCTTGCCACCTTTGGTGGCATCATCTCCTGGGACGTGTCGGTTTCCTCGTCCCTGGAGCGTCCTCGTTTCCGGCTGTCGCTTCGCTCCGCCTCCATGGCGTCAGCGCCATCCGACGAAACGGCGGATCCGGAGCGCAGCCGATCTGATGCTCTTCGGCTCCCAGAGACCAGCGTCAGACTGACTTCTGGGAGCCCCATCGAGATAGGCGTTCCCGACGCTATCTCACCCTCCGTGGATGACCCATCCACTCCACTTTTCCTCTTCTCCTTAGTTTCAGAGTCCGTTTTGCTTGCCTGTTTCTGTTTTTGTGTTGGTTGCCGTTTCTGTATGTTTTTATTGATATGCTCCATAATAAATCCCACGAGTGGGGGAGAACTAAAGGTCCACCCGGGCAGAGATCCCCCATTACCCGGGCAAGCGTAAGTTTTTAACCCAACCGAGGGGTCCGCAGGTACCTCGGCTTGGAGTGCGCTCGCGACTGAACTTCCCATCAGCCATGCATCCCCTAGCCACGCACCAGAACACGGGATTCGGGGAATTTTTTAGAGAGGTTATCTTCCTCGCGGTCCGGGCGGTTAAGCCAAGACCCTCGCCCCCGATCAGAGCCGCGAGACTTAACCACAGCGCTCTTCTCGGGATTACGATATGCCGACGGTTGACAGGGAGACTACGTCCCCCTGCCTGCTCGGTGGTAGTGTGAGTACACGCCGAGCCCGTCCTCCTTTCTCCACCGCTGTCAGCGGAGAAACTGTGGCCCCTACAGGGCCCCGCCATCAGGTTTTTTACCGAGGTTTCCTCCTCCATGCTCCGAAGAGCGAAGAGCCAGCAGGGCAACCGGCAGACACGCCCACCCTGCTGGACCAGGCCTTGCCCGAGAGCCGATGAACGGCTGCCTCTTCTGCTAGAATATTGGCCGCTGGCGATAATCCTCTCCTCCAAGAGGACAAGGAGGAAACAGTACCATCGCCAGCGTTTCCAGGGTGCACCACGAGGAGGTTTTCTAGCCCGCACCCCAACAAACCCTATACCAACCCGTCTGGCCAGCGTGGTATAGTAGGTCAAAACCTCCTTTCTAAGGAGAGGCTTATGTCCAGCAGTGGACTAGTAAAGGCTGTGGATGAAAATCGTTCATCAAGCATTGTCATATCTTTCTCTAAAAACCCTTTCTTTTCTCTCGGAACACGGCAAAATTTAAATACTCAATAATGGTAACGTATAAACTTTACTACAACAAATATTATAGAATGTAAATAATACACAAAATTGAAAATCACTATTCCACAGATAATATCACTAACGTGAAACGACAGATGAAGTTATTCCGCAGATTTAAGCTTTATTCTTGGGATAACAGCTATCTGTCAGACTATTGAAAACTCCAAAATTACGCTAACTGTGGAATAAATGCTATCTAACTGTTTATCTTAGTACTGAAAAACCGGCCCTAACTGGTATTTTTTAAACTTATCAATACCATCTAATTTACGTCAGGTTATTGAAACAGTACTCGATCTTACATCGTCGTTATCTTCCAGGTTGTAGCTTCCGACGGTACAACAGCATCATTCATGTGGGAACTTCAGAAAGATCCCCTGGTCAAAGCTGGTCCCTTAAAAGCCAAATTCTCCGTACACTATCGTCCCCTGTCCGTCGAAGGGGCAAGCAGACCGTTCAGCTGTTCCTTCGACATACAGGATTACACAACACTGTTTGTGATCAGGACGAAGTTGGAGCCAACTAAGGGCGCTGATTTTTGTAGGGCTTCGCAGATGTGCTGTTTGCAATTGAGTTTACAGAGGGTAAGTTCATTTATCTCATCAGATATTATAGTATTGTGTTTATTTTTCGTTGGATTTCAATTGTATAGTATAGTTTTTTGTGTAAGTACGTAAATGTAAGTACGAGTATAGTGTAGGCTTGTAATGTTAGAATTATTTTTAGTAAGTTTCTGGTGGTTTTGAGTGTTTCCACGGCCTACCCAAATATCCTGCTGACGGTAGTGTCGTGCTTCGGGTCGTTGATCTTGTCCAAAATATGTCTGGGGCTTATATGCCACCTGTATGGACAGACCGATTCAAAATAATATATGCTCCTTTCTTCAAAAGGCCTACCCAGACCCGGAACTGTACTCGCACAGTTTTATTTAACTTTGTTTATGTATTAAAAAAAGACACCTCTGTGGTTTGTTTCGGCGTTGAAACGCTGAATTTCCGAATTGAATTTTAAATATGACTTTTCATAACAGTTAACTTAAATATACTGTTGTATGAACAAGGGTTATTTTTATTTAAGAAAATATTATTTATTTTGTACGAAAATTATTTCCAGGTAAATGAAACGGAATATACTTCACTTATGTATGAAGTTCTTGCTGATCAAACGATGTGGGCAGTTTTAGGACGTACTGCAGGTATATTACTTTTTCTATGTTTTATTTTTCTTCGTTCTGGGCTTGGCTGATTTTTAGTAGCCAGAAGTAAATCTCATTGAAAATAAAGTTGTTTGTTATGAAACTTCCTTTAAATTAGTAAAGTTTAGGAATGGTTTCCTTACCAGATTCTTTCAGAAATATGGATGTTACATATCACAGCACACTTGTTCAGACCAAGTCATAACTCTGACCAACAACTTACTCTAGTGGCTAACGGTTTCTTAGAGTAGATCCAACCGTCAATTGCGATCAATAATGAGATATGAATTATTGTTGTTCCCCAGGTGTAATTACAATGGAGTCCAACGGCGCGGAACCACAGACTGTAACGCTAGATGTGATGCCTTTGGTCGCCGGCTACCTGCCACTGCCCACCGTCAGGTTGTCCAAATATATCGCTGCCAATACCAAAGGTATGGTTACCAATATGTTTTGCTGATTATTCTGTACTCAATATGTCTAAATCCAGAAACTGAAGTCCACTAACAATATTGAATATGTCAGGATTCTATAAGTTGCACCTCAGCTTTAGATGGCACATAAATGTTTCTCAAGCCTTATCAGGTATCAAAACCCCCACATTTAATCTGAATGTAGGGATGGAAACCACAGAGTTACTCATTCTTGTGTGTTCTTTATTTTCAGATCCTAAAAAAGACATCTCCGCACACCCTCGCTTGGAGCCGTTCAGCCCTGGACAAGTGTACCACGCTGGGAAAGCGAAGCAAGTTCACGTATTACCTCCTATGCCAAAAGAGCATCTCGAACTCATGCCCAACTGAGAGTAAGTGGCTAATGTACTCTGTTACATGACAAGAGCTTACCAGGCACCGAGCAGTGGAATTCGTTGGGTTTTTGTTAAAATACTGTTTAATACTGATTATTTTTGCAATAAATGGTTAAGATGTGGACCTGACCACTCGTTGCAAAAGTATTAAGAGGGTTTCGCCTTGACTACCACTAACAGGCATTCCATGGAAGACACAGGAACACTACGAATATCGCAGTATTCAAGGGTCAAGAATATTTCCTAATGTTTATACAATCGAATTATATAGGATCGAAGGTAAAAAGCCATTTCTAAACTCTTTTCAAACGAATCCCACTACCTATGTGCCAATAACATTCAGAAACTGATTAAAAGTATAAAGTGACTGTAAACTGATACTTAGATTGTGAAATAATACGTCCATTGTGTTTTTGTAACGTTAAAGCTTTGCGTATAATTACACCGGTCAACCAGCTCAAAGATATAGTTCTATATGAAGTCGTTAATATTAATGACAAACTGATATTATTGTACATTGGTGTTCGGTGTTAGAAAATTAAATATAATATGCTCCACACACTAGCTTTGATTGCCTATTTGATTGAGTATTAAAAAAAACTATATAATGCTTCCAGTTTTGTGCTACGATAAATATTTATTTCATATTATTATTTGATTGACCTGTTGGCTTAATGGTTAGTGATCCCGGTTGCTATCCAGAGATAATTGGTGTGATTCCCACCCAAGTCAAATAATTCTGTGATGAGCATGATCAGCTGTTGTTGTGCAATTCGTCTATAAAATGTTCAAGTAGGTTTATCACCCTATCACAGGCTATGTCTGATTTGGGATCAGACAGCCGTGTGTGAGATGTGTCAAGTTATTACCAATTATATACCCTTTTTTGACAATATTCTTAACACAAAGCATACTTGTATTTTGTATGCTGCAAATCCTATATAAATCGTGCACATGACAGTAGAAATAAGCTAGTGTGAAGGAATATTAGATAATGTGCAAATTTCTAGCCAAACGGGGTAAAGATCACTGAAGGCCTCATGATGTTCATAAATCTCAAAAGAGCCTTTTTTATTTCGTTGAATGTAAACCGGTGTTAGCAGTCCTTCCATTGCTTTTCACCGAGTGAGAGGTTGCCGGAGTCCAAACCCTCCGTCTCTTAATTCTGAATGAGGGACTGAAAGAGCTTTAACGTACTTGGGACTTTTGGGTCCATAGGCGGTGGTAATCATTGACCATCAGGTGACCCGTCTGCTCATTTGCCCCCTGTGCCGTAAAAAAAAAAGTACTAAATGGTCGATTGGTAAATAAACTTTTATATTTTGGGTAGGGGACTTCAAATATAACATTGGTATAAATAATGTTACAGACAGCATATTAAAATATGGTTATTTATGTTATTATTTAAAAAAAAGGTGTTGTTAACAAAGAAACTCAGTTATTTTTCGCCTTTTGGCCTTTACGCTTTCTCATAAAATACTGTAATCAAAGCTAAATGCTTGTATCTGATCTATAAAATATTTTCATGGCAATGATACAATTAAAAAATCATATAAAGTATCAGTATGTAACTGCTTACAAAATTCTATGTGGATAAGTCGGACCATCATACATGTGATAACTCATATGCTTCGTAAGGTTGTATGTGTATATATTTTAATATTACCTACTTATATGCGTTGTATGTGAGGCATTGTAGCGGCTAGCTGATTAATAAACCGGTCTCAAGATTTTTTTGATAAATGCCCTAAATATAAGAGATGTACGCAAAGTAAATATAAGAACCTGTGTCAATGAATTAATAACATATAGACAGAAAGCTCACTCATCGAAGTGCAAATATGGACTAAAGAAAATTGAACATTGCTTCAAATTCGGATTTATGTTCATCTGAATACAGAAATGTTAAAATTTACATGTGAGTACAGTACTAGTTTTACACTTAGAATAAATAATCAAACAGTATAAATATATAAAGTACTCTGTCCCAGTATTTTTCTTCAAACGATGACGTCATACGTGGACATGATCATCATCAACCTATAGCAGTCCACTGTTGGACATAGGGGTCTCCAATTGCACGCCACTTGGTTTAATCCTCGGCTTCTCGTATCCAGCTCTTGCCAGCCATCTCGAGCAAATCGCATACGTACTCACATGACCATAATGGGGATACAAAAAATTAAAGGTCGTATTTTGATTTATTTCGAATATCTTCGCGACAAATGCGCGTAGCAAAGATTTAAAGAAAGGAAAATCAAGCTGAATGAACAGGCTATCTTTCTCATATGATTGTTCAAATTAAAAAAAAACTCGAGCCTTCAACGGGTGAGCTTTAAATACAATGTGTGTAATGTAATATAGAAGTAATAAACCAAATAGATGATGTTGATCTACAAGAATGATTAGCGTATCTTTTTATTGTGTTTTAGATGTACATTAGAGCAAATTGTATTTATGATTGGTAGATTAGTTAGTCTTTGTAGCACTGATTCTTGAATTTATAGTGTGTTCAATTTAAAAAAAAACGTAAAGATAACCGAATAAAAATTATTTTTAAAGTCGAGTCAAACAGCGATCGGAACGGGACAGTTAGAACTGAATATGTCACGCTCACGTTACGTCGCTGTCCCGCCGCGCTTGCTGTCTGACTCGGCCTTTTTTTGTGACTTCAATAAAACTTAGAAACCCTATTAAAAACGTAGACTAATGAAAGTACTAGATTTTTACTATTATTTTCTCATTGTTTTAGATTCCCTAAATCTAGACTTCCCTTAGTCTTTTTTGTAATAAGGCAAACGATGTTTATCAATGATGCTGTAAGTCTATGATTTGGTAACTATACCAAATTTTGTGTACCTACATAATATACTTATTACAAATATATAAGGTTCGCTTTTTTTTCAGCAACACTACAGGGATTAAATCCAACGCTTAAGATGCTCTTACACTCTGTATTAGATCTGCAACTGTTTTAGATCTAAAATATATTAGCTATATGTTAGGAATACGTGTAATATAGAATTTAATATGACATGTATATTTGCTCCTGTCGAAGTTATGTTTCGATTTTTGAATATAATGTAAAAAATATTGTGAATAACAGTTTTGAAAGAAAGTTTAGTTTCATTGTTTTGTTTATTTTTTCGCCATAATATGTTTCGCCACAACGATTATATCTACCTAGTCTATGTCTCGTCTTTCCATTATCTCTTGTAAGTTGTAAATATTTGTTGCTAGAAATATTAAAGATGGACGCTCCTTAATCTCTTATAGTTTTCCGCAATACACAACTAAACATTATTTTAGTTATCTTTGTATATTATGTTATTATTATGATTTAAGTTCTACTTGGTGCACATATTTTGAATAAGGTGTAATGTTATTTTTAATTTCCGTTTAACTCAATATTATAAATACGCTAGATTTTAAACATTATAATTTACAGAAATGTTGAATGGGTATTTTCAAATGTCAGTTTTTGTTTATGCCTTGTTTGTGAAGTTGCTATTTTAATAAAACTCAAGATTTCTGCAGTAAGACTGGCCAGAACGAAATAAAAGATGTAATAAAATGAGCACTTACTCTTAGTAGAAACAAACTTTGGGACTCTAAACAAGGAAATATCTACTGGTTTCATTGGTATCGTGAAGTTTGTAAGTTATCTAGCTAGCTAGCTAGCTATTTTAGTAGGTATGTCTACATAACAATGCAATAAATTTTGTAATCTTTGGCGTGAGTGATAACTAATTGGAAAAACGAAATGTTATTCTAAATGTGTAGTAACAAAAATAGTCATTTTGTATTTACTTTGACAAAAAGAAACATACTCAATAGGTGTGACATATTTTTTACTGTAAGGAATTTAAAAAACTAAAACGATTGTCTTTCTTTTAAATGTCAACTGATTCATTTTGACATTAGTGTTGTTAATTATTAATGCTTGTCTATAGTTTGTTCATCATTGTCATCATGCTCTTAATATATGGATAGAATAGACTTTTAAAATTAATAAATTTGATTTAATTATCTTTAAGTTGTCATATTGTACATCAAAGATTTTGTTCTTATAAATGAGTAGCTATGTTTTCTTTTTGTATATAGTTGGTAAATAATAATCCAGGTGCATATTAAAGATGTCATACAATATTCGGAATCAACTAACAGAATCACTTTTTAACATACACCAGTGATATTCCATCTCAAAATTTTTATGTCTAAACTTTTTAAATAATATACTATTTTATAAATTATTAATGGGATCGTTGTTCAGCTTGCCTATAAAATGATGAAGTATAATTTGTTTGCAAGAGAATTACATAAATTAAGAAGCTTTTACCATTAGAACGAAAATGCATCGACGTGTAATTTACGCCTGCATAAAATTTCACTTCAAATACTAACTAATTATCGCTTTTTAAATCCGATTTATTAAGTGTATAGTGGCTGCTTCATTCGCTAATGGATGACGTGCAAATACAAGTTTAACTCGCTCTAGTTTTTGCATGACGCTAGGTCAACGCTAAGACGTAATAAATTACCTCTTCATAAGAAATTATTTATTAAAATAGTACTTTATTTAAAAAGGTGTGATTCGTATAAATATATTAATTAAACAAGTTCTCTTAACAATACAAGGTTCAAGAATTTATACAGTGATGGTAACAAAACTGTTTAATTTTGTGAGTTAAGAATGAATGTCTTGCAACAATTTGGCTGTTAGATTGTGTGTTGGGTACGTTGTTTAATCCAAGACCACTTCAACATGTAGTGTTGTTGTATTTGTTGAGCATATATATCTACTGCACTCTTGCGTAAAAACAACTGGATATTTTTCGCTGTATACCTATTGTTAATAGCCCACATGCAGATGTGTTAAATGTAAATTGACATGATATTGTATAACTGGAGATTATATTTATGTTTCGTACTATGTTGTATATCTAGAACTACGAATATAATGTTTATTGTTAGAATTTTTGTTTAATTTTTTCTTACCCCATAATCGAATTTAATTAGGCGTTATAAATGATAAATTAAGCAACCACGGTATTGCCCATGTTAAGGTTTTTTTTTTTTGCTGAACTTAAAAGTTCTACCCCTAAAACTTTCCGCTAATGGTTATTTGTACACGTTTACCAGTAACATAAATAATCTTGCAAAGAATTGAACATTATATAAAGTATATAATAGTCCTATTATATAATTTATAGATATGTATAGAGGAAGAGAAGTATAGCCATCCAAGTTTTAGGGATCAGGTAGATAGGTACAGCAGGTGCATTACAATATATCAAGCTACGAGCGTCCGCCGCCGACTCCTCTCGCGGTCCCTGTTCCTCGCAGGTGAAGACTCAATTAAGCGGTTCATCTATAGTACTTTTAACATTTTTACTAACACTTTCGACTAAACCTGGATAGCATTTAGACTTCTTTTGCATCGTTCGTTATAAATGCATCTCAAATCATAAAGGAAGAAGGTGATGGCTCGTCTGACATCGAGCACATAGCCGTAGCATAAGTCGCATAAAATGCGGCCGGAAATAAGCAAACAATTCACGGCACTCATTCATTTCCTATTCATGAACTTGACTTTATTATTTTTATTTTTAACTTTTCGGACTTTTTTACTAAGCCCGAAACGCAATCCTGGTGGAATTTTTGACTTGGCAGCTATCACACACATTGTGGACCGCTCCCTTTTTCCTGTGTGGGAAACACGGTGTTCCCATTCTAAACCTTTGGCTAAGCACCAGAACGTGGGATTTTGGGAACTGCTGCAGAATTTCTACTTCAGTAGCGAACAGTATTTTATCGATTAGAATATCATAGTAAAACAATAAAATACCACCTATGACTTTAGTTTTTAGTCGATTAATGTATTAAAAAAAACGTCAAGTGTATTATTGTAAACGAGAACATACTGTCTTTTCTATACAGGTTAGACAACTGTTAAAATCATAGCATTTCAATTCGTCATTGGCCAATTGATTTTAAAGGTTGGCAGTTGACTTAAGATTGTGATTGTGAACTGTCGAACAAAATTAATCAGTTTGTTTTGTCTCAAAAATATGGTCTTATTTTTATAAATTCAGAGTAACCATGAGATAAGTAATATCACACATCAACAAACTTTTTCGTTATTAAAAGTGAACAATTCAAAAACAATGGATGTCGTGTGGGTTATGTTGTGAAAATGCAAAGTGTTACATTCGTATCATTGGATGTCACACGCGATTATAATCTACGAAAAGGGATAAGAGGTCTCTATAAAGAACCATAACTATTTCGCTGTGGATAAGTTACGTGTACGCAGCGGGAATGACAATAATGGCAGTTTCTGTTGGCGAAATTTGCGAAAACACTAAGTTGGCCAGGGAGATGGCTTTGATGGGAAACTATGAGTCGGCATTGGTATACTACGAAGGCACCGTACAAATGATCCACAGGCTCCTGATCACCATTGCAGACCCTACACGCAAGTCCAAGTGGCAACTTGTAAGTACCATTAAAATTTGTTATGTTTTCCACCTCATCATGTTGCTCCATGCTTGCTTACCTTGAATGTGAACGTTTCCTTATATGATAAGGAGCGCTAATTAGTATAGCCTTCGATAGGAAGTCGGAAGGCTACTTGTGGCATTCATATGAGAATTCGCCATATAAGTTTGTTTGTTTTTTTTTCAAGTTGAATTTAGGTTATTTCTCCACATTATTTTATGCCAATTCGATACAGTTGTAAGTCTCAGAGTTACATTGGGGTCAATCTTTTTTAGTTGTATAAAATTGAAAACCTTTTTGATCAAAATGTTTACTACAATAAATCTGATTCTTATAGAAGAGCTATCTTTGTGCTCCAGGAGCACAGGTTTGGTCATAAATTCATGTATGATTGTGTACCTACTTTGCATATCATATTAGTGGTTTTCTGTTAAGAATTCTCAATTTAAGCAGGTAGTCTAGAAAAAGGCACTATAGAGAAAGGACAAAGGGCTCTACCTGCCTTGTTAGATCACAAACAAAGCAGGCAGTCACTTCTAACACAAAAGGATGATAAAATAAAATAAATTGAAACTTACATTTACTCATTCAATGCTTTATAATGCCATTTTAATGTTTTATGGAAACTGCAATACACTTTGTATTTTCTTTTATTAATCACATTATGGATATGTCCAGCAGTGGACTGTTAAAGGCTGTTGATATGATGTGATGTGAATTGCATTATACAATATCTATAAGGAAATCAATAATTATACCAAACTCATTGAAAAAAAACTGATTAATGCTACATGTAATATAAGAATTGAAATCTACTTGTATGATGTATTTATCTAATATTCTTAATAATCATAGTGTATCCTGTTATCACTGTTAATGTTACACTATTAAAAATTAATAATGTTTGATAAAAGCATGTTGTAGTATGATTACCATCATTGTGATTAACAAGTTGTAGAATGAAATTCTCATAAATCTTAAATGTAAGTTTAACTTATTTACTAAAATGCTGGATGCATTACACTAATCATAGGTAGGCAGTATTGATTTTCTACTAAGTAAGAATTATTGTACCCAAGAATACCAAAGCATGTTAATGTAAGGCTGTCCGAAAATTCACACTATGGTTTACCAGAGAGGTCTACCTGTGTGGGTGTACCTGCGCAGTCAATGGGCTGTGCAGTTTTTGCTTTAGTTTTATGCTAGTAAAGTGTGTGGCTTAAATTAGCACGCCTGAGCTTCATGGAAATAGATAGTTTGAGGTATACATCCCTAACCATCTCAACCGATGCTTACATTAATCATTCAATTTCTTATGCAAATTTCCATTTTTCACTACTGCCTTCTCTTGTTGCCTACCTTTCTCATTCAATGTATTTCCACATTTCCAAAATTAATACTCTAAGTGCCTGCTTGGTGTCAATAAGTCTGCACCCAATTATAACAGTGGAACTAAGTTCGAATTGGTAACAGTGCCAGTTTAGACATCTCTGCCTACAGGTGCAAGACAAATGTAAGACAAAGTAAAAGTACATTCTAAAGAAAGTTTAGTGCATTTTTTTATTAGGTATTGAGGATATAGCTGCGCATACACATGCATATGATTTCCTCCACTATAACAACTTTTGGTTTGATTCATCATCATCACCAGCCTCTACTTAGAAAGGTGGTTTTGGGCTACTATATCACACTGGCCAGACAGGTTGGTATAGGGTTTGATTCAAGTTTTCCTTCTCTAAAATGATAATAACTTCACACACGGCAGTCTTAATCTAAACTAGGCAGAGCCTGTGTTATGGTAACCAGACTGCTGATGAACATACTTATATATTTCTAAATATATACATAACATTGATAAATTACACACAGGCAGAACAAGTCATCATGCTTATCACACAATTATTGGTCCTGGGTGGGAATCGAACCCAGAACCTCCGGCTTAGCAGTCAGGGTTACTAACCACTAGAGCAACAGGCCCGTTGTGCAGTGATCTTCTAAGATGTGTAATGATTGAATCAATCAAGACAATTGAAAATTATGATTCTATTTACGTTCGCTTGTGAGCCACAACCAAACAAATTCTTAGTCCATGTGTTATGGATACAATTACACTCTCTCTCTCTTGTTTCGTTATTATAAAAAGACTGAGGGATTGTCTACTATATATAGTACTTGAAACATGTTTATTGGACAGAGTTGCTTGAATGAACACATTTATAATGATTTTAAGTTAGTTAAGAAATTGCTGTATTATTTGGTTTGGTTTTACAATTTACGTAGCAATTGTATTGAAAAAACAAAATTTATCAAACAATATAATTTTTTTCCTTAAGATTTTTATTTATTTATACTATCCCATTTAAAAACAAAATTTTATAGCTGTATGCAAATTAACTTTTTTAAAGAAATCAAATCAAAGCCACAGTTCTTTAACAGCAGACATTTAGACACATAACTGTTTAATTATACTGTTAGTGTTCATACTAGAGACTACAGTAAGATACTGTTAACAAAGATCCCAAAAGCAGGCAACATCAGCTTATACCTCATTCTCTCATCTGTCATTCTGTCCAGCTCCAATTTGATGATGATGATTTGGGAAAGGAACAAATGATTATGCTCATTACACAACTCTTTGTTCTAAGTGCGAAACAAACCTATAATCTCTGACTCAGTAGTCAGAATTAGGAACAACTAGACCAACATGTATTAATAAATACATGTAAATTGAACTTAATTTAGCAATTGAATTCTGAGAGCTTGTCATAAACTCACAAAATAATGTTCCACTTGTTGATATTTATATCATAATTGTTTAGCTCATATCTCAGAGAAGATGAACCCTAATCATATATCATGCGTTTTATGAGCAGTACTGAGTCACTTGATTCAACCCTATTTATGTAGTTGCATCTTGCATGTGTTGTGTGTGTGTCTTTGGTGATAAAGAGTCTTAACAGATCAAATGATGCCTTGTTCACCTGATGCATGCATATTTACTAACAGTTTCAAATGTTTATGTTTACATATGCATGTTTTTTTATCTTTATTTTTGTTGTCTGAAGTTTTATCTGAGACTTTAATATTAATGTTTTTTTTTTTTATTAGACCTGAATCTGATAACCTGATAACCTGGCATATATGCAGTTTAAAATTTTGTTTTTACTCTCCTATTATCTTATTGCCGGCCATATGAACCATGTGGATAACCCCCTGACCCTCGAACAGGAAATTCTAGCACTCTCTGGGTATAACAACCGGGTTGAAAATGTTTTTGAGGATACTAAAACACACATCTTAAATTTGCCTAGAAATCTGTTGTGCCTTAACTTGTTTTGCCGAAAACATGCATAAAATTATTAAATAATTTAAATGTGTATTATTTGTCCATTTATGCAATGAATAAGTATGTACAATATATTCCTTCCACACATCTATACTCAATTTTTCTTCGCTCTGATAGTATCATCTCTGAGTGTAAAATATTAACGATTGTTCAACTATTCTACAAGACTTACTGCATACATGAAATAGACGCAAAAAACATCCAGATACAAAACCACAATTTGTGGATCACACACAGTGTTGTCCTATGTGGGGGTCGAACCCACAACACTCAGCGCAGTAAGAAGCGGCGAGGTGACCGCTTAAACCACTACGCCATCCGTGGAGTCGTAGAGTGCTTTAATCCTTGAGATTGTACGTCAGACAATTGGGAGATATATTTTTGGCCTCCCAGTACAAACAAGAAACTTGCAATTTAGACATGACCCCGATATTTGAAGATTATTTTCTCTGTAAGACTTTTAAGACTTAAGGCGTTAACTTTCAGGATCACAACTATCAATTGTCGCTTTAACTATGCATATTGCTAGATATGTATTTTGCATCTATTATCTGTAAATTATATAAATAACAATGATCGCCGAATGTGTTGCTAAGCACAAAACTCGAGAACGACTCGACCACTTCGGCATTTTTTTTTCATATATTCGTTAAGGCATTGGGAAAGTTCTTATGGAAAGAAGAAACGTAAAAGTAGTGAGGAAAATAGTGAAAACCACACTTGTTTTTCCATATAAACCACATAGTAAATTGAAACACCTAAAAGGCAATTCTCGTAATATAAGTTAGGTCACAATTTAGTTCCGATCAACTCGGTCTCACAACTCTCATAAAAGGTACCGAAATTATACTTTACTATTTTACTACAAAAATACCTATTATGACAGTTGCGGGATATAGAGTTGATCGGAACTGAATTTTGACCGAACTTTTATTACGGGAATTTTGGGCTTCTGTACCTAACTGTCTGTGTCTAATATTTGACGTCAATCTAAAATTATTGCAAAAAAACCCGACTGCTTGAAAATGTATACTTAATATTTATAAACTGGTGATGTTAATTTTATAATTTTCATAAACCCAGTTTCACTCTCACGATTAAAACGAATTAAAACGATACCTCAAAGGCTAAAATTTATCAAGCTAGGCTACGGAGCATGTCAAGAAATATACGTACAAACATTTGAAAACCATAACACACCTTCTGGCGGAGTCGGTTAAAAATATACCAAGCACAAGTTATTTTATCTGTCAGTGCCAATTTTATTAGTATTGGTTACATATACATTATATATATATATATGATTTTGATTACATATGTATATGAAATCAAAATCGTATGACACATTGCAAAGTTAGTTAGCAACCTTAGTCAGGTCAGTCTGTGGATGGGCTTATCCATTTCTTAGCACATTGAGATACCTCCGTCGGTCCTGGTTGCCATACGAATCTCTCGATACGAGTCTGTGGCAATCGTTGCGGGTGATTGGAGCTAAAAAATCCAACAACAGTCTTTCTGCAGAAATATTGCCTAGTATTTATGTTGTGGAGGTCTGATGGCAGTCCAGTAGCTCCGAGTAAAAAGGTTCAGACGCATCGTAGTAGACTTAGGTCAACCCCAGCCTAGCTTGGGATAAAGGCTCGGAGGTAAT